ACAACGAGGTGACTGAGAAGGAGCTACCTGTCAGAGAATATCTTATAATTAGCATATGCTTCAAGGTTTGAAATTAAAAGTAAAACATTTACATTTTCAGGGGTGAGGATGAATATAATTCTCAGCTTCAGAGTGATGAAGAGGATCTTGAGCTTCCCTGTCCGCTAAGATCTGATGATGAGTGGCAACACTACCAACCACCTCAGCCTCCTCACCACTACATGCACAACTATGGTAAGAAAAACTCTATTTCTTAAGAGTTATTCCTTTTTTTTCACTGTAAATGTCAAAAAACTGTTAATATGCAGTTAGTTTGATTTAAAAAAAGAAGATAATCACATGAACAAGTATTTCTATTATTATTATTATTATTATTTATATTTCCTTGCTTTTACCAAAGTAGCAGCAATACAGGAGTGTGCAAATAATATTATTCCTATATATTTCACAATTCACAGGTAAAAGTACAGTAATATTATCTGCAAAACATACTTGCAGTATTATAAGTTTACGTCTTATGAAGTGAAGTATTGTGTATAACAATGGTTCCTTTGAGACTTTAATTGGTAGATATCTTTGTAATTATAAGTACTGTGGAAAAATGTGTAAGCAGCACTTAAAAGTTGCAGTGCTTTAAAGGGGACCTATCATGCAAAATGCACTTTTGTACGTCTTTTATATATGAATATGTGTCCCCAGTGTTCCAGGGAACTCACCAAGTGTCAGAAAACAAAACCCTCTCTATTTTCCTCCATACCCAAATCTCTAAAAAAGGGGCTGCAACGGATCTGATAAAAACTGATCCAGATTTGAACACTGTCCTGACGTCAGGACAGTGGCGCTACGGCTATTGGGCCAACTCCACCAATCAGGAGGAGACAGCCACGGCCATTGCCGTTCGAAAGCGCTGGAGACGTTGTAGTATATATGCCAGGCCTGTAGATGGTGCTGTTCTCATTGAATCTGCCCTTGCAAAAACAGAGCTAAAAAATGTAAAATTGAGCAAAATGAGGCATGGCTAAAATGCATGATCTGTTTGGTATTTTTTTTTTTTTTAAAGTATAAATATGCCTTATATAGGTATGGTCCTACACTATATTATTCAAATATAGCATGATAGGTCCACTTTAAGGTAAAGCACATTTGAACTACTTCATATAATGTTCAGTATTTAAAATCTATGACAATGCTGTAACATTTTAGTCTATAAAGTAATTGTTAGTTTCAGAAGAATGTGTAAAAAAATTCATAATTTTACTCTAAACTAAGTGGAAGTACCGTAAAGTGTGCTCACGTAAAATACAGGTCTAAAACGTTTGCAGTACTTGACTGTAGTTGCTTTTAACCACTGTCATTAGCAACACTTTTAGTCATTATGTACAGTATATGATTTTAATTTGGCTGGGTATTTTAAGGTACTGTAAAGCACATTTTAACTCATATAATGTTCAGTATTTGCATCTATGACAATGCTGTAACATTTTAGTCTATAGAAGTAATTGTTAGTTTCAGAAGAATGTGTAATAAAATGCATAATTGTACTCTAAACTAAGTGGAAGTACGGGAAAGTGCGGGGAGTGCTCACGTAAAATACATGTCTAAAACTTTGAACCACTGTCATTAGCAGCACTTTTAATCATTATGTATGATTATCATTTGACTGGCCAGTAGAATAAGTATTTGAGCTGGCAACCATGCTTCTCCCTAGCTTGTTTTATTTAGGCGTTTTTTGCCTCATCATGTGCTTGAACTATATTTACAGACCCCTGTCATACCATGAATATCGGGTATTATCAGCAGCAGTTCAACCCCTATCCAGGCCACAGATACCCTCCTCAGCCATGTCACCACTCTGCTCCCTACCAGCACAGAGGACCCTGGGATGACTACCAAAACTGGTAAAAAAAAAAACATGCAGAATCTTAAAACAACTATGTGCAGTCCACAACTTTGTAAGCACGCACACATGCTGTGACCAAGTACTGCAGCTGCTTTGCATATTATCACCTGTCAGCAGGATTGAACTGATGAGCCTTTTCTGTCTTTTCTTTCCAAATGCTCCAGGCTCCGACACCCTCATCACCCTATGAATAGCATGGTGGCTCAGGGAGGTGTGTCGGTGAACGTGCCTCAGTTCTTCGTCCCCCCGGTGGAGGGCGTGTCACAGGTCAGCGTGATGAACCTCAGCCCTGCAGGAGAGGAGGCGTCTGTCTCACATCCACAAGAGAAGAGAAGAACCATCAGTCTGCCCGAGGAGTGCCGTGAGTCACTTTGATTTAATAATTTAATAGGATGTTGCTCGTGTTTTATTGTACAAAGGAATTATGGTGTAGGGCACTTGGAAGTACCTGCAGGCTTATGAGGTTACAACTGGAAGCAGGGTGTGTGGTGTATCGTGTTACTATAAACCTGCCAGGTCTGTTTTAGGGGCTTATAAATAGAAATGACATTTATATAAAGGATACACTAATTGTTACCTCTGCTGTTTAAGCAGGAGGTTAGCATAATAAGAACAAGGTTTAAAATGTTGATTCTAATTGTGCTTCACTCATCATGAAGACATTCTGCATTATTTTCACACAACACCATTAAAAGTGTAAATTTAAAAAAGTCGAAATGAAACCTTTTCATTTTCATTGTTATTTCTATTTTAGAGAAAATGTCTAAATGTGAGTTGTTGTTCACAGTTGCAGAGGTATTTATTCAATGTCATGGTCATACATTAAAGGGTAATACAGCAAATCAGTATATTACCACAGTAACAAAGAACACCATCTAAAGTGATCAGAATAAAATGTTTAACATATTTAACACCAAAACTAGAAAAATATTAATTTGTTTTTTATATTCTTTCTTCTCTTCACAGGAAACATTTTTATAACCTATTCTTCGGACATTTCCTCAGAAATAGTCCCCTTCGTAGACTTCCTCACAAAGCAAGGTTTCAGACCAGCTGTAAGATACTTCCTTTCTACACAGGTCAGATTTAAATTAAAAAAAAACCTCAACAGTTAACTCACAGCCCTGAATTTAATTCCACAGATTGACATATTTGACAACCCAATCAGACGCTTGGATATCAACAAGTGGAAGGACAGTTACCTGAAAGATGTAAGTATTAAGCATTTGTATTGCTTGCTTGTATTTGTATAAAACTGTCAGAAGTTATGACTTATAAGACACTTGAATACTTGAATATTCCATTTTCTTTTTTTTAGCATGTTTCAGGCCGTGAATGTGTCTAAAATGTGTGTGTTTTTAAACAGCCATCAACCCTGATTATCGTCGCCATCAGTCAAAAGTATAAGGAGGACATTGAAGGACATGTAGTGGACAACCATGGTCTACACACTAAATATGTTCACTCCATGGTGAGAACATCTCCTTTTTCAGTGAGACATCAAGCTGATTATAATTGCGGATAGATTCTTTAACACTTAATCTAATTTTTCAGATGCAGACTGAATTCATCCAACAAGGCAGCTTGAATTTCAGATTCATACCGCTTCTCTTCCCAAATGCATCCCAGGTCAGAATGTGTTTGTTTGCAGTTACTCCATATTTACACACTTTCTCTCTGTACTACTGAAAAACATGACTATGCACTCTCCTTACAGAAGCACGTCCCATGTTGGCTTCAGAACACGCGCGTTTACCGCTGGCCGCAGGACACTGAGGATCTGTTACTGCGGCTGCTGAGGGAGGAGAGATACGTTCCTCCTCCGGTCCCGCTGGAGCTCACCCTCATCATCAGGCCCGTGACCCCCAGCTGCTGCTCCACTGTCAACACACACCACCTGTGATCATTACTGTGTTGATGACTTGTGTGTAGCTCATTTTAATTGGAGTAATGTACACCTCCTGTATATCCTGTAAGACACAATTCATGTTCTATCCAATGTACAGATGTTTCAATAAAGTGTTTTGACTGTTTTACCTCTACACAACACGTTTACCACTCAATTATCTTAACAGTTAGGGATAAATGTCCTGTTTTTTGTTCCCCACAGGATGAATACCTCTGGTGGTGATCCTCTTAATTTCCCTCTGCCCATTTGTGGTATCTAATGCATGGATTGTCATGCAATTTGTTACACACAAACGTGCCCCCCTCAGGATGAGTTGTAGTAGCTTTGATGATCCCTTAACTTTTAACTTAGCACCATCTTCAGGTGACTAAAATATATTTGTTTAACATTCACGTTGATTTTCCATCAGCCTCAACTCTACTTTGACTTTATTGATAATAAGCAAATGTTTGCATGTTAACCTGCTAAACTAATACAAATGATGATATTATATTTATTTATAACTTGAACTTTCAAAAAAAGTAACAATGTGATTTACATTTATAATAAGTTAATGAGAACCAACATGCACACAGATAAAAAAAAAACGATGGAATAGTTCATACAGTTGAAATTATTAACATAATAAAGAAAAGACAAAACATTTAAGTGAGCTTTAGAAGATGTTGCGTTTTTTTCTGACTACGATTACAACCTAATACTTACAAAGGTACATTTGATTGTTTTGGGGTTTTAGTTCAGTAGTGAAATAGTTTGACATTTTGGAAACACATTTTTACAAGCTGGCCCTTAATGTATGACCAAATGTGAGAACAAAAAAGAAAGTGAATATTGAAACCCTGTGAAAAAGACTAAAATTGTTGGGAACAACAAAGTGTGCTGCTGCTAGTCAGGGAAACTTTGTTGTTTATTTCTCACCTTGAGCCCCTGATTTGTTCCAGGTCAGTGGGCAGATTGAGGTGCCCCACCAGTAGGGGTGCCCAATTCAGCCCACTGATCTCACACACACCCCTTCAACCGCCCAAAAAGGCCTGCCAGAGCGGCTGGGTCGCAGAGCTCCAGCTAAGAATAACCCGGCCTTCTGGGGGATAAAGTTACCTTGAAGCCCCCCTGTGCTGTGATCTGACCTATACCCATGTGAGGCACCAACAACACAGGGGGGGATATTCTGTCTGTTCCCCCTTCTCCATACCCAGCCCTTTGCTTAGCTGGACTCTTTCCTTCCCCCTGCGTAGCTCTCCTTCGCCCCACCGCCCCAGACCCCCCTCTGCAATGCTGCCACACCGGCAGCTCCAACATCGCAACACCTGTAAATCTTAAATTCAGGCTTGATTTTCCTTTTTTCAATCCTCGAGAAGTTTAACCTTTGGATTACACCGGCCAGGAAACAAGACAGAGATCACCAAGTGGAAATGGAATAATTGAATAACTTGGACACTTTTTACACATAAGCGGATGCTGATTGGATTGTATACTGAAGCTGTGATTTTCCATTGACTTCTGCATGAGGAGGCTTTGCCCTCAACTTAAAGGATTATAGCTGAAATTGTCTGCATATCATCATGACTCAAGGTAGGAGTGTTCCCTCTGCGTCAGCACTGAAATTAACCACAGCCCTTTTTTGCTACAGCACAGAAAGTCTAAGTGATTTATGCCATTATATAAACAAATGGAAGTCTTTCGATGGTTTGTCCTCTTTGGAAAATGTGTTGAAAGTTGGTTGCTATAAATACAGGATATCATGTGGCTGGAGTATTAGCGTTGCTCTCCAGTGACAGACACGACTGCTGCTGCCACTGACCTCTGTCTTCAACTTTCTTTTTGCCATTTCAAAAATAAGTCCACTTCGTAGGCAATCTGCTCACACAAGTTGTATTTTCTGTGGTTTGATGAAGCGTAAGGCCTTGTAATGATTTGAACAATAACAAGCAGTTTTTCTTTTAGAATCAGTGCGTTTGTGGTGAAATACTGACACCACCTGTCCATCCTGAGAAACTCTGAAGGCTCTGTTTTGAGTTTTTTCACATCTCAGCATTTTTACATGAGGAAGTGAATCATAAGTTGAGCACGCTCAGAGTTCATTCACCGTAACAAAGTGTCTTTTCACACTTTGACACCTGATCCATGTCTGAATGTGCGTCAGTGTTGATAAGGGTGAGGATGTCATTAAATGCCATCACAAAAATGTTCCACTGGACTCAGCAGCTGGGAATCATATATATTTGAATAAGCTGATGACATGGAAACTACAGAAGATTCCTTTCTTTTCTGTTTTTTAATCTAACAAGATGTGTTTATCATGTCTTTTGATAAATACTGTAGCAAGATCAGACTGTCTTCATCTTCTAAAGTTTCAATCCTTTGATCACAAACGAAAATCTCCTTCACCTGTTACGGCTTAGCTGCAGTGTGTAGGTGATGAGACTATGAAAGGAGATTAGTCTCCCAAACAAACCACAGTAATGTAATTTGACTGAACCATACTTATGTGTTCAAGTTAAAAGTTGTTGCTAGCATTACATGAATAGGAGAATATTAGATCTATCAAGCCAGTGGATATGCTTACTTTGTTGTTAAATAATATAAAGATTGTTATCAGGAACTTCTGCTAATTTCAGGAAAGTTTCTTCCCCCAAGATGTGTACTGTATATAACATTGTTTAACCAAAACCGAACCACATTCTCAATTGAACGCCCCAGAGACGTATACAGTATTTCAATTTAACTATGATCGATGTGGCTCTACATGAACATGTCATGTTGAGCTGAACCGGTTTGGTTTGTTTTCTTCACATGAGAAACAAGCTTCTCTTTTTTTGCTTTTTTCACTGATCCTATATTAGATTATATAAATAAAATAAGCCAACTTCCTCATGGAGCAGTTTAGATTGCTTTCTGAGTGAAAATGAACGTGTCACGGATCTCTGAAAGAAAATGTAAGACATATCTTTGGCATTTCTCTGCCCACATGCACATATATCTGCATTTTGACCAATATTTGTCCCTTGTTGTTTTATTGGTCTTGCTCTAGTAGGGCCGAAATAAACATTGTGATCATTGTTAATCTGCATGCCCTTTGTATGTTTGTACTATACAGTTATAGTTGGGTCTGACTGTAAAAGGACAAACCAAATATAAAAAAGTATATTAAAACAAAAAATATAATAAGGATACATATTCTAATACAACTTCCAGTGTAACAGAAGCGTCAGTCAGATCTAGGCAAGGCAAGGCAAGGCAAGGCAAGGCAAGTTTATTTATATAGTACCTTTCAACACAAGGCAATTCAAAGACATTAAGAAAATGGCATAGATAATCAAATAAACATTAAAAGAAAAAATACATGAACAAAGACCTAGCAGCAAAGGCTGAACCACAACTGGAACATCATGTTTTTGTTTTTCTCACATGAAGGCGCCTCGAATGCAGCCGCTGCGGCTCAGAGGCCCAGAGGGCTCGGGATCCTCGGGAAGCTCAAGGTGTCGGCGGAGCTGCTCATCGCCCTGGCGGCCCTCCTGTCCTGGGGGGTGGTGGGAGTGGTGATGTTTGACTTTGTGGAGTACAAGGCAGTCCCTGGTAAGTCACAAATACTTACATAAATGTATCTGTACAGGGTTTCAATCATCAAATATGCATAAATATCAATCATTCTGTTACTCTTCTCAGACATTCAACAAATCGTGTCGGACCCTGTGCAAGCTGTAAACGATGCTGTTGACGAAGTAACCAGTCTGTTCAATAAGTTTCAAGGTACATAAGAAAGACACACATCTTTTAAATAATCATGACCATTATGGACTTTATGTAGATGGCACAATGAATGCATCAAGTGCTTAACATTTAAACAAAGTTATCATAAACATTAACATATGGATATAATTCAACTATGAATGGAAAACAAGATAAAAGAAAAATACCTCTCTCTTGATAATCAAAGAACAATAAGATTTAAAAAATCATTGCTATTTCAAATGTTGTGATATATAAATCGTATCTCTGGGTCCCCAGAATGTGCACCTGATTTCAGTGACCCCACTTCCGCTGCCACCTACGCAGCTGAGGAGATATCGGAAGCAAAAGATGGATTTGTTCGCTATTTTTCAGATGAAGAAGGTATGAAAACACATAACACTCACTCTACTCAACAACAGCAAAAAATGAATTAAATGTGACGTAAGCACGACTCTAACAATCCACCTTCTAAACCCACAGGGAACTTCTACCTCAGCTATGTGGACCCGGTGGTCTTCGGTAGACAAGCTTTCCATTCGACTAATGATTTCATGTGTGGAGTTACGGGCACCTTCAGGGACACACTGTGTGCGATAGTGGACACCATATTGGATACTATATTGGGTATAAATAAAGGTATGTATTCAATAATTAATGCTTATTTCTGACTAGGGAAAGTATCTGCTTTCCTTTTTTTTTATTTACAAGAGAGTAACACAAGTAAAAGGAATGTTTTTTGGCATATATTTTGGGATAGTGTGGTTATAAAATAATTTTCCCTCCTATCTTTCCCCAGGAGAAGTTGACATTAGCTACATCGACCCGGTGGTCACAGGCCGAGGATTCTTCAGTGTTACTAATGACTTTATATGTGGAGTGGGGGGCTACATCCAGGGTGTGTTCTGTGCCATTTTGGACACAATTTTGGATGTAGTGAAAGGTATTTACTCTTCCCTCTTAAAGTTTCTTTATTATTTAACCTCTTTGAATCCTGCAATTACTATTTAACACATTACATGTCCTTATCTGTTTTGTATTTTTTTCCCAGGAACTGTAGATCTTAGCTTCATGGACCCTGTGTTGGTGGGCAGAAATATCTTCAGTGCTACAAATGAAAGCGTTAATGCTGTAGTGGGCTACATCCAGGAGATGCTTTGCACCATCGTAGACAGTGTACTGGATGTAACAAAAGGTACCCACATCTTTTTAATGTTTGGGGTGCAATACAAAACGTAGCATGTCTAGATTTGTTGCCTGAATGTGTGACTAAATCAACAATATTATTCAATAACTTAGCTTGTGTTTTTCATGGGTAACAGTACTTTTGTTTCTGTGTTTTAACTTGATCAAATGGTTTTTACCTGTCTTTTAAAATGTCTGTGTAGAATGAAGTAACTCATTGGAGTGTTGGTTTGTTCTTCAGGAACCACTGACATTAGCTACATTGACCCTGTGGTTATTGGTAGAAATGCCTTCAGTGTTGCTAACGACATTCTGAGTAAAATATCAGGATACATCCAGGATGTGCTCGGTGCCATCTTGGATGTGATACTGGACACAACACAAGGTACAGTATTTTAACCTTTTCCCTAATCTACTGTTGAAATGTTTACCACAACCATGTATACTTCACTGTAGCCTGTTAACTGAAGTTTCCCCCTGTTTTGCTCATCAGGCATCCAGGATGCTATGGGATTCAGCCCCATGTCAGCTGTGAAGAGAACAGTAGAAATCACCAAAGAGCAGATAGACATGCTCGTGAACTACGTCTCCACAATGATGTTTGGTGATCAAGGTCTGTATGTTTAAATTCAAATCTGCTACATTACAATACTGTTGCTGGTATCACTGTGTTTGCTTTTGCTGGTTATTTATACAAAGATAAGTAAGTATGGTAATAGAAGAAATAGCTAACAATTGTATGATTTATTTTGTATAATGTGTTTTATTAACGGCAGCTTTACTGATGTTTCAGGGATCCTTCCAGAAGTGTCCGTTGATCCCATGAAAGTCATAGAAGATGCTGTGTTGGAGTTCTCAGACAAGAAAGAAGTGTTTGTGGCTTACATGTCGAGCATGCTTGTTAGGGATCAAGGTATGCTTCTTTGCATTAGTTATATACTCTACTTTATACCTTTATAAATACACATACTTAAAAATAAAGTGGTGCATATGTGATGCCTGTTTTTCTCCTGTTTTAGGTGAACCTGCTGCCACACCAGCTGTTAAAGGTTTCACTTTTTATTTCAGTTGTATTATATCTAAAAGCATCTTCCAAGCATAATACTTAATATTTCAAACCATTTGCACAACATATCTGTTTCTTCTCTTTGTTTAGATGAAACTGTGTCTCCCCGCTCTGATATAACTCTGGTACATAGGAAAGGTAAGCAATACAAATGTAGTTTTTTTGTTTGTCTTGCTGTCACATAATATTTCTTTGTTTATATAAAAAAGGTTCGCTGTCTTTCATAACCAAATGTTTTTTTTTAAACGCAGGAGAATTTCTGCCACCTATTGAGAAAGGTAACAAATCAACATCATATACAGAATATATTGTGCAAAACCACAATAATGTTTATTTGGGTGCAATATATATGTTGTCAGCAAACAGTTGCACTCGATGCATGTTTGCATTAAATTTGGTTTTCTTGGAATGAACTGATCTAAACTTGATTCATGGTGTGTTAAGTATAAGACAATAAGCCTAAAGTAAGAGGAAATTGAATGTTAACTTAGCTTGAATAAACCTCATTTTGCACCTAACAAATATGCATCATGACCACTGTCTACCTTCATTTGAATAAATATATAATATTAATTAGTATTTGGCGACTGCATCTCTCCCTTTGTAACACTAACTGTTTGCTGTGTGTAACATTTCATGGAACTATGCGTTCACGTCTTTTGCTATCAAGTTGCAGTCATCACGTTTTCTGTTGTGCGTAAAACATTTGTATTTCTATGTTGCATTGAGCATAAAAACATGTCTTCAATATGTATCTTTTGAAGTTGTACGCATGTGTATGTATGTGGATTGTTTGTTCTTTGTTCTGCTGCCGTAAACTTTTACTATAGCAAGACATTTGTATTAATTGCCGCAGAAAATAGTCCCCGTCAAATAAACTATGTACTGCTGTTTAAGTCAAGCAAAATGATGCTTTAAATAAATATCTGCATCTTCAGTACACATGTATGAAAGTAATAAGAGATGAAGCATTGTTAGCTTTGGTTTAAACTTGGCAAATTCAGAATGTCATTGTCCAAGGCATGTTTTGTGTATAATGTATTGAATGGTCATTGTTCCCATTTCACCCCATCCAATTGTTCTTTACCTGTAAATCATTTTGGAGCTGCATTTCCATGTAACGACGTAAAGGTCAGATAAGACAGGTCACATGTGATGATGATGATGATACAGTTGCAGAGATCATGAAAGCTGCCAAAGATGAAGCTGCTGCTGCTGCTGCTGCTGCTGCTGCTGCGTTAGCTGAAGCCCAGGACTCACAGATTGAAGAGGCTGAAGTTCCCACTGAATCTGCCAGGGAAGCAGATGGGAAAGAGGCAGAGGAAGATGATGGTATTCATATGTTTATTCTTTAATTAACACATTTGTTAGTCAGATACAAGATTGATAACAGGCACTAAAATTGTCACTATCACGTCACTAGTGAAACACGTCCACCTTGAAGAGACTGAACATGAACCTTCTCCAGAAGATGAGGCAGAAGAGGCTGATGCTGAGGAAGAGGAGATTAAAGCAGAGGAGGTTGTAGCACATGCGGAGGAGAAGGAGGAGGAGGAGGAGATCAAAGATGATGAAGGTGTTGCTACAGAAGGGAAAGAGGAATTAAAAACAGAGATAGAAGAAGAAGAAGAAGAAGAAGAGGTGGAGCCAAAAACTGAAGAAGAGGTGGAGCCAAAAACTGAAGAAGAGGTGGAGCCAAAAACTGAAGAAGAGGTGGAGCCAAAAACTGAAGAAGAGGTGGAGCCAAGAACTGAAGAAGAGGTGGAGCCAAAAACTGAAGAAGAGGTGGAGCCAAAAACTGAAGAAGAGGTGGAGCCAAAAACTGGAGAAGAGGTGGAGCCAAAAACTGAAGAAGAGGTGGAGCCAAAAACTGAAGAAGAGGTGGAGCCAAAAACTGGAGAAGAGGTGGAGCCAAAAACTGAAGAAGAGGTGGAAGAATTGAAGCCAGAGGAAGAGGAGACTGAAGCTGAAGAAGAATCAGTCAAAGAAGTGGAGACCAAAACTGAAGATTTGATAGAGGAGGAGGATGAGGAGGATGAGGAAGAGGAGGGAACTCGAACAGAGGAAGAGGCAGTAAAAGAAGAAGAGGAGGATACCAAATCGGCAGATCTTGAGGAAGAAAAGAAGAAAGAGGGGGAGACCAAATCTGAAGAAGATGCAGTAGAAGAGGAGGAAGAGGAGGAAGAGGAGAAGGAGACAGAAACTGAAGAAGTTGCTGTAGAAGAGAAAGAGGAGGCAGAGGAAACCAAAACTGAAGAAGATACAGTAAAGGTTGAGGAGGAAGAGGAGGAGGAAGAGGAGGAAGAAACTGTAGAAATGCTGGTAGAAGAGGAAGAGGAGGATGAGACCAAAACTGAAGAAAAAGCTGAAGAGGAGAAGATGGAAGATGAAGATCTCCCTGTTGATGAAGAATCAGATGAAGAACAAACGGACATTTCTGAAACTCATGTCCAATATGAGTTTGTAAAAACTGACCAGGACGATCAAGCTCTAGATCTGGACGATGATGAGGAGGAAGATGAGGAGGAAGAAGACCAACTGGACAAAGTGGAGAAGATGGAGGTGGAAGATGAAGAAAAAGAGACACCTGTCCAACAACTTGATCTTGAAATTCTAGCAACTGAACAAGTTGATAATACCAGTGTAGTGCCTGAATCTGATGATGAGGAAGAAGAAGACATTATTGATGAAGACCAAGACGAATACTCCGACATCATTGACGATCAGGATGAAAACAACAACAACAGTGAGAGTGGGAAAACTGAACTCAAACGTAGGAGGAAGGTTCATATTCCCTTTGAGAGGCTCAGAAGAGCCGGATCCAAAGCTGCTCACAGAGAAGAACGCCTTGAAGATGAGAAAGGTACAACACTCTCACCATTATCATCACGTGTATTTCACCAGTCCATGTTCATTATCAGCTCATGAAAATGATTCTGAATGATGAGTTTGTTACTAATGATAAATAATATGTGTGAATATTCCTGTTAAGCCCGAGAGACCCCGGTACCGGGGTACTGCCGCAAGATCTTGCAGGAAACAGTGTCTGAGGGCATGTTCATTTAATAAAACTATGAATGTTTTATATCCATGTAACGGGAAGAAACTCATCTAACTGATCTTTTTTTTTTTTTTTTCAAAAGAAAACCCACAATGCTAACACTGAGCCTCTGAATTAGCAACGAGCGAAAAATGCTAACACCTTACTGCACCGAAAATCACTCACAAAACCTTATTATTTATCTTTTCACCACATCCAACACATCAATTCACATCGTGAGGTGACACAGAATCGTTTGACACCGACATTACCACTGCATTATACGTATTTGCGACGTTATAAGCAAAAACGGACATCAAAACAGGTGACGCTAGGTAGCTAAAAATGCTAACATTTTTACCTTGGCTCTGTAGTCTCTCCAAAGTGGTCTTCAATGGCATTCAAATGATAAAAACGCTGCTGAAGTTAATCCATAGGTTAATCTAATGTGTCTGTGTCCCTTTGAAATGATTTCTGATAATCCATAAGCATTAAAACTGCTTTTCCGTTTCCAGGGGCCTCATTTAACGCCTTGCGTAGGATTGACGTGAGAAGGTTGCTTACCTAGTACAAAGCAAAAAAATAGGTACAGAAATTTTCCGACATTTTCCGATTCACAAAACTGCGTACCGGCGAGGGAAGTGCGTACCGGCACTTCATACGCCTGTTTCCCTTTATAAATCACAATCGACTCGAAATGCGGCGCAGCTTTTGCAGGCTTCACGTAACGCCCATATTTGCCTATAAATAGTCAAAGAAACGCCCATTCATTCATTCATTTTTGACTGACTGCATGAAGAAGATCGCAGGAAATTACGACCGAACAGCTAAAAAAGACATCTCACACCGTGTCAGAGTTTGGTTATTTTGGGGAGGTCGAGATAAATCATATTGTTTGGTGGATGCAGTTTGAACCAGAGTAGCAGCATGGAGGTCAGATCGTCACCAAAATAAATAAATAAGTGGTCCGAAAAAAGTTAATGACAAAAAAAATACACATAACCTTCCTCAGGCAGTGTGTTTGTCCCGGGGACAGGAGACACCCCCTTGATGAGAAACTGTAATGCTGCGTTCACACCGGACGCGATGCGACTATTCGCTTCGCTCTAATCGCTCCTATCGCATCGCTCTAAACGCTGGAGGTTCACCGCGGCTGCCAGCTGTGTTTACTCGCATCATTCAAACAAGACGCGCTGGCTCGGGAGCTACAACTACAACAAATGAACATATTTTACCGTGATTAAATTGTAATACACGTTTCTAAATGATGCCGAAGTAACAACATACTGATACCGGTTAGTAACAACCATGAATTAATGCTTTGACAAGTCTGCAGACAAGACGGCAGGCAAAACACCTTTTAAAATGCTTGTTTTCTGAATGAAGATCGGGTCAACCAGGCTAAGCTAACGTTGTATATGCTCATTCCACACTCACAACAACGGCCTACAGACATAAATAAGCAGCGACTGTATTCACCATGACACAGACAGTCTGTGGTTTGTACTTGTTTAACTTTTGTCCAGTTTCTGAACGGATATGAGGAGCTGTGAGCTCTGTGTGCTAACTGCTAACAGCTAACGGCTGATGTTGTGTGGTTGAACGTCAGTGACGGCGGCTGAGATCCTCACCGCTGATTGGCTTCCGCGAGAACGCGTCACGTGAATTTGACGCTCGAGTTGAAAAAATTGAACTCTCGCGTTTAACGCGGCACTGTTCAATCGCCTCAATCGTGTGATTCGCGCTGCGTCCACCGCTTCATGCGCGCCGTCGGAGCGAATTCGCGTCTGTCCACGTCTCTGCATTGACTTTACATGTAATCGCGCCGCCCCCAAACGTCGCATCGCGTCCGGTGTGAACACAGCATAAGAAATGATCGGGGAATCCCTCCGGAGTGGAGTCATGACGACTGGATCTGAATTATTTTGTTGTATTTGGTGGTTTGTGTTCCAGCTGTCGATCAGCAACTATATATCCATAATCCACCAGTTAAAGGAAATACAATGTGTTGTGTTATATTAGCTGTACAATTTACCACATATGGTGTTTTTAGTTTCCATACCTCCTGTGTTTTACGAGCGACTTATCAAGTCTTGGCAAACGGCATAAAACACGATTAAACGTGATAGTATATAAAACCATGCTCGTATCTATACAACCTATAGAAATGCAAAACGGCGTCAGTTTAGACGTTATTCTGTCCTCCTGCTTACCGCATCATTTATGAGAAAACATTTCATAACATTAACACAACATATTCGAGGTGGTTTTAAATAACATATCCGTATTTATTTATTTCTCCAAGTTATGTTTTTGTGTGCACTGAGGAGTCTCAAACAGGCGTTTGTTTAATCATTTTAAGATTGGCTTTAAATTAATCAATGTTTGAAAATGAATTCGTCATATATGATAAATGAGAGGTAACATTTTATTTATTTCCACATATTTCTCTCCATTCTTCCTTCTGCCAACGGTGTCGCAGTTTCTCGTCTCTCCCGTTGTTGTGCTTAGTGCGTACGCATGGGTTAGAGTTTGCGTGGAGGACCGCACATTTTCCCGTCAAGTTAGTATTTTATAAATCGCAAACATTGCGTAGAAACTGGCGTACGCCATTTTTTGAGCGTATATCCCTTTATAAATGAGGCCCCAGATGTCAAAGCTAGAGATAGGTCCACTCTGATGCAAAATTACATGCACGAAGCCCCCACCTTTTCTCTTCACAACGTGTGTGTGGGGGACTCCCCCTTCGATTCTATTGGCTCTAACGGTCAGAAAGAGGTGTCAACCATCAAAATCGAGCAAGGGGGGCCAGAGATATGGAAAATCCACCCAAATGACCCCAGAAGTGGTTTCTTTTTGCTAAATCTCTCTAAAAAGGTCAAATGTCACTTGTTTTGCATAAATCTTGATACAGGGTACTTATTATATGTTGTACTTTGGATTCCTAAAGCTTTTAGTCTACTAACCCATCATCCAAGGGTGGTTTTCACTATAAGTAAAAAAGAATTTTTGGACGGACACTATAATTTACAGTTTTTTACTATGTGAAATCTGAATTTTCTTTAAAATAAAAAACATCTATATTGATTCTGACTTTTCTACATCCAACTCACAGGTTTATCATTACTTTGAGAAAAAAGATTATTAATTTAACCCTTTTAGAAGGGAAGATATGGTCAAAAACAGGTTAAGGGTCCTAACATGTAACCTATGATTTCCTCATCTCAGGGAAATTTGTTAAAATGTTCTGATCATTTATTTTGTGTTAATCGAGGCTTCAGGCCGACTGAGTGACTTTCACATAAAACTTTTTTTCATTAAAGATTAGAGAAACATATTTGAGGAATTACTCTTGTTTGTTGAAGAATCATAATAATTTATGGCTACAAAGAAGCCAGAACTTGTCTGAGAATCATCAAAGTTTTACATTTTCTGAGTCAGTATAACCACAGGTCACATTGCAAACAGGAACTACTGAAAGATACTCAGCAAAATGTATAGATGGCATACTATTAATGGTGCCTTATTTTAAACAAACCAGGGCTAAAAACGTCAACATGTGGCACCAAGACACAACATTGAACTCCATTTACGTCGCCAAATTTGGATGCTCTAATCAAACTAATGTCTCTGCAATGACTGTGTTATAGCGAAGCCTCTAAATAAAGCTTTGAGTCTAGTCTTCATCCTCTTGGCTTACAATGCTCTGGTACAATAATACATTTATATTTTACTTTGCTGTGCCTATTTCATTTTCATTGATGAATTGTTGTACTTGACACATCTTTGGACTTGACACAGAGGAATTAAACTGATATTGATCTTCTAATCTGACAAGAAAGATGAGCACATTTCCCAAAATGTTGTTGTTCAACACATTTTTATTTAAAAAGCAAATAAACATGGACTGACCAGATAATTTGAGGTTTTATTTAGATCAGAAGCTCATCTTGACTCAGGTGTGAATAGCTCAACGGAAAGAGGATCTTGTGACTAATACAGTACAGTGCTCCTATAACTGTGCTCTTTTCTTTTTGATGACTCAGTAACTACAAATCTATTTCCTAAGGTGCTAATTGTGTACTTAACTGTTCCTGCATTAGACCAAACTGTTCATGCCTTAGGCAGTGAGCCATTATGCAGCTTCATTTATAGTATTCTCCATTAGGACAAGAACAAACTATCAAATATAGCATGTCATCTTTCATTCACTGTGAATGATGTGTCAAATGAAATTGATAACTGAAAAACAAGTTATTATGACTTCGTTGTAGATCTCTGCACCTCAATTATCAATATAATATATATATATAGTGATTATGCAAGCAAGATTAATTGTTAAGACGTATTGACTTTCTAACACCGATTACTGGTCAGAATTGAAATACTATATAATTTGACACAATTCGTTATTAAAGGTAATAATCTTGAAATTGTGCACCTTCTTCAGTTTACTTCATTCCAACATGACTTTAACATTTCAGAACGTTCTAATTGAATGTATTGATTTGGTCTAATTTAGCAAACACCAGAACATACTCTATGCACTAAAGCACCTTATAGTTCTGCTTATGAAGAATTCTTGTTGCTTACAGAACTCCCAGCCGCCGAAACTGAAAAAGAGGAGAAAAAAGTTGAGGAAGACAAACTTGAGGAAACTATTGAGATGAAACTAAAAGAAGAAAAGCCAAAGGAGGTGACCAAACCCCTTGAAAAGGAACCACCAACGCCCAAAGGTAAATACACTTAATGAAACAAAAATATTACCTTTAAGAGTATCTAAATATGAAGTATGTCCACAAGAGAATGCAGCTTCATAATGTTTTGTTTACCTATGTTGCACTATTCCAATAAGCTGCATGTGCTACAGAGGACCAAATGAAAAGCATGTGTAAACCACTAGTACATATTTCACAAAACAAAATTGTTTTCAGGACTACAAACCGTTTTGGGTACTTTGTCCCTGTTCCACTTTTAATAATGTTACATTCATCTTCGAGTACCTACAAAACTGACTCGTGTATGTTTGTTTTTAGAAGAAGAGTCTAAAAAGGAGGAAGAACCTAAGAAACCATCCAAAGAAGAGGGAGAAGTCAGGAGGCCTTCAGAGGAGAAGAAAGAAACACTAAAGCCTGAACAGAAGACATCAGTGACAAAACCCTCTGAAGAAAAAACAGATGTGGAAACACCACCCAAAGACGAAAAGGAAGTCCAGAAACTTCTCAAAGGAGAGAAAGATGATGAGAAACATCTCAAAGAAGAGAAAGAAGCCAAGAAACATCCAGAAGAAGTAAAAGAGGTCATACAGCCTATCAAAGAGGACAAAGAAGTGAAGAAGCCACTCAAAAAAGACAAAGAGGTCAAGAAACCTCTTGCAGAAGAGAAAGAAGTCAAGAAACCGTCTAAAGAAGACAAAGAAGTCAAGGAACCTCTTGCAGAAGACAAAGAAGTCAGGAAACAACTTAAAGAAGACAAAGAAGTCAAGAAACCATCTAGAGAAGACAAGACATCTCTCAAAGAAGAGAGAGGGGTCAAGAAACCATCTAGAGAAGACAAGACATCTCTCAAAGAAGAGAGAGGGGTCAAGAAACCATCTAGAGAAGACAAGACATCTCTCAAAGAAGACAAAGAAGTCAAGAAACCATCGAGAGAAGACAAGACATCTCTCAAAGAAGACAAAGAAGTCAAGAAACCATCTAGAGACGACAAGACATCCCTCAAAGAAGAGAGAGAGGTCAAGAAACCATCTAGAGACGACAAGACATCTCTCAAAGAAGACAAAGAAGTCAAGAAACCATCTAGAGACGACAAGACATCCCTCAAAGAAGAGAGAGAGGTCAAGAAACCATCTAGAGACGACAAGACATCTCTCAAAGAAGACAAAGAGGCCATGAAAGCTCTAAAAGAAGACAAAGAAGTCAAGAAGCAACCAAAAGAAGACAAAGAGTCCAAGAAATCTCTCTCAGAAGAGAAAGACATCAAGAAAATGTCTAAAGAAGAGAAAATAGTCGATAAACCTATTAAAGAAGAGAAAGAAGTTAAGAAACTATCTAGAGAAGACAAAGAAGTCAAGAAACCAACCAAAGAAGGCAAGGAAGTCAAGAAGCAACCAAAAGAAGACAAAGATTCCAAGAAACTTCTCCAAGAAGACAAAGAAGTCAAGAAACCATCCAAAGAAGACAAGGAAGTCAAGAAACAACCAAAAGAAGACAAAGAGTCCAATAAACTTCTCCAAGAAGACAAAGAAGTCAAGAAACCATCCAAAGAAGACAAGGAGTCCAAGAAACCTCTCAAAGAAGACAAAGAGTCCAAGAAATCTCTCAAAGAAGACAAAGAAGTCAAGAAACCATCCAAAGAAGACAAAGAGTCCAAGAAACCTCTCAAAGAAGACAAAGAGTCCAAGAAATCTCTCAAAGAAGACAAAGAAGTCAAGAAACCTCTCAAAGAAGTCAAGAAACCTCTCAAAGAAGACAAGACACCTCTCAAAGAAGACAAGACATTCACGAAACCAACCAAAGAAGACAAGACAGTCACGAAACCATCCAAAGAAGACAAGACAGTCACGAAACCATCAAAAGAAGACAAGACAGTTACGAAACCAACCAAAGAAGACAAGACAGTCACGAAACCATCCAAAGAAGACAAGACAGTCACGAAACCATCCAAAGAAGACAAGACATTCACGAAACCAACCAAAGAAGACAAGACAGTCACGAAACCATCCAAAGAAGACAAGACAGTCACGAAACCATCCAAAGAAGACAAGACAGTCACGAAACCATCCAAAGAAGACAAGACAGTCACAAAACCATCCAAAGACGACAAGACAGTCACGAAACCAACCAAAGAAGACAAGACAGTCACAAAACCAACCAAAGAAGACAAGACAGTCACGAAACCAACCAAAGAAGACAAGACAGTCACGAAACCAACCAAAGACGACAAGACAGTCACGAAACCAACCAAAGAAGACAAGACAGTCACGAAACCAACCAAAGAAGACAAGACAGTCACGAAACCATCCAAAGAAGACAAGACAGTCAGGAAACTTCTCAAAGAAAAGAAAGGAGTCGATAAACTTATTAAAGAAAAGAAAGAAGTTAAGAAACCATCCAAAGAAGACAAGGAAAACCGCAAACCATCTAGAGAGGAGAAAGTAGTCAAGAAACTTCTCAAAGAAGAAAAAGAAGACAAGCAAGTCATTAAAGCTTCTAAAAAGGAGAAAGAAGCAGAGACACCTCTTAAAGACGAGAAAGCATTTAATACATCTATTGCAGTAGGGATAGCATTCAAGAAACCATCTAAGGAAGACGAGAAAGTCAGTAAACCATCCCAAGAGAAAATAGAAGTCTGGAAACTTCTGAAAGAAAAGAAAGCAGAAACAAAACCATCCAAAGATGAGAAAGAAGTCAAGAAACCTCTTAAAGACGAGAAAGCATTTAATACATCTATTGCAGTAGGGATAGCATTCAAGAAACCATCCAAGGAAGACGAAAAAATCAGTAAACCATCCCAAGAGAAAATAGAAGTCTGGAAACTTCTGAAAGAAAAGAAAGCAGAAACAAAACCATCCAAAGAAGAGAAAGAAGTCAAAAAAACCTCCAAAGATGAGAAAGAAGTCAAGAAACCTCTTAAAGAAGAGAAAGCATTTAATACATCTATTGCAGTAGGGATAGCATTCAAGAAACCATCTAAGGAAGACGAGAAAGTTGGTAAACCATCCCGAGAAGATAAAGAAGACAAGAAACCATCCAAAAAAGTAAAAGAAACTGAGAAATCATCTAAAGAAGACAAGGAAGTGAGAAAACTGTCTAAAAAGGAGAAAGAAGCAGAAACACCTCTTAAAGACGAGAAAGCATTTAATACATCTATTGCAGTAGGTATAGCATTCAAGAAACCATCTAAGGAAGAGGAGAAAATCGGTAAACCATCCCAAGAGAAAATAGAAGTCTGGAAACTTCTTAAAGAAAAGAAAGCAGAAACAAAACCATCCAAAGAAGAGAAGGAAGTCAAGGAAGCTTCTAAAACAGAGAAAGAAGTCAAGAAAATCCCTGAAGAAGACAAAGAGGTAAAGAAACCATCTACAAATAAGATAGAAGTCACAAAGCCATCCAAAGAACAGAAAGAGGAGAAGAAACCACTGAGAGAAGGAAGGGAAGAGAAGAAACATCCTAAGGAAGAGAAAGCCATGAAAATAACTCTCAAAGAAGAGACAGAAGTGAAGGAACCACCTAAAAAAGTAAAAGAGGTCAAAAAGCTTCTCAAAGAGGAGAAGGAGGAACTAAGACCAATGACTGCCATCACGAAGCCTGCAAAAGAAGAACCAGAACAGATCTCTAAGGAGTTGAAGGAGAAGGAAAAGGAAGCAAGTCCTTCCAAAGAAAGGGCAGTACCAATGAAGCCCTCTGAAGAAAAACCTGAACCAGAGAAACCTTCTAAAGACGAAAAAGAGGTCAAGGTTATTCTCACAGAAGAAAAGGAACCAAAGAAGATCTCTAAGGAAGACAAAGAACCCATCAAGAAGAGAGACACTAAGAAAGGTAGGCATAGTCTTGCAATGTAATGTTTTTATTATTATTATTCAAAATAAGGATCTGTTGACGATACAATACCAAGAATATACAGCCATGCTAACCGCTCTGTCCAGCTATACAACATGGCAATGCTTTAGGTGAAATGCTCACATCATTATGCTAATTCTGATCACCATGACAATGCTAAAAGTTTATTGTTTTAAAAGGATACCGTTCACCATTTTTACCATCTTAGTTCAACATGATTACATATGCTAATTACCACCATGCACAAAGATTTGATGAAGCTGGTAGGGATTCAAGTAGCCTTACAGGTATTTGTAGAGGGTCAAAAGATAGGTCAACTGAGGAGGCTAAATGAATTGCTTTTCTTTTTTTGGTTAAGATAAACATAATGAAACTTAATGGATTATTATGTTGTAATTTTCCACCAGTGGCAGCTCCCAAGGAGTCCAAGAAAGAAGCAAAGGAAAAAATCACAACTAAACCTGTAAAACCAGGTAATACAAAGCCATCCATAGAAGCATAGTGGAACCATGGCTAAATATACTTTTATGATCCATGTACAGTTTTAATGGCAATACAATATTTGTAGGCACTTGTTAGAAGATGTGCTAAGTATCTTCAAGGTTAAATAGATTGATAGGTTTCCTTGTAAAATAAAAGGTAAGTTTGATTCCATTGTAAAATGTATGTAAAACTGTTGAATCAGCTTTGCCATTTTATTTCAGACACTGAACCCAAAAAGGCTGTAAGCGGGATTAAAATAGTCAAAAAGGAGGTTGCGTCTCTTTTGATGAAGGACCATCTTAATGTTACAAAAGCAGGTGAGAAAATACAGTCTGTAGAATAACAGGTCACAGTGATATTTTGTCTTTGTGGTTAGATGTACAGTATAGATGTTTGCAGTAAAAAAGCTTACATTTTAAATGTAAAGCCAAGATTAGCAAATGAATTATGTTTTTGAAAATTCTCCAACATTAGAGGTTCGTCAAGTACCTAAAGTAAAATCCAAGCCAGAACCTGCAAAGAAAGGTAATATTATGTAGGAAACATAACAAGTAATATATTTGCAGAGAGTTTCAAATAATAAACACTTATCTTTTAATAAAACCTCAAATCTAAAGGCTTGTTGGTGTCATGATTTTACAGCAGCGGCATTTCCCAAGGAACCTAAGAAGGAACCAAAGGAAAAAGTAAAACCTAAACCTGTAGAAAAAGGTAATGCAAAGCCATGAAGCCACACCATGAGCATGGCTAAAAGATACTATTATAATGTTGGTGGATTTTTCATGACAATACATTGTTAAAAAAGTATTGTACATTCTATATTTCATAACTCATAGATGGTCCTAAAGATAGTGCTGCTCGAAATAGATTTATTTTTACTTTTTTTTAATGAAGGGTATATTTGTTTCCACAATGTCAAACTGTTCAATCATCTTTGGCGTTTTATTTCAGACGCTGGACCCAAAAAGGCTGTAAGGGGGATTCAAATAGTCAAAAAGGAGGTTGCGTCTCTCTTGAAGAAGGAGCATCTTAATGTTACCAAAGCAGGTGAGAAAATACAGTCTGTAGAATAACAGGTCACAGTGATATTTTATCCTTGTGGTTAGTATAGATTTTTGCAGTGACAAAGCTTACATGTTAAGTGTAAAGACAAGATTAGTTAATTCATTATATATATTTTTAAAATGCTCAAATACTAGAGGTTCCAGAGGTACCCAAAGTGAAAGCCAAGCCAGAACCTGCAAAGAAAGGTAATTTTATGAACGAAATATAAAAAGAATATCTTTGCAGAGAGTTTCAGATAATAAACACTTATCCTTTTATAAACCTAAAATATAATAATTTTACAGCAGCTGCACCTCCCAAGGAACCTAAGAAGGAACCAAAGGAACAAGTCAAAACTAAACCTGTAGAAAAAGGTAATGCAAAGCCATGACGCCACACCACGAGCATGGCTAAAAGATAACAGAGCTAGATTACTCATAGATGGTCTCAAAGTTAGGGCTACTGGAAATACATTTTTTTTACTTTTTTCAATGAAGGGTATATTTGTTTCTGCAGTATAACTTATGTGAGAGTTTTTAAACCATTTTTGTCTTTTTATTCCAGACGCTGAACCCAAAAAGGCAGAAAAGGTGACTGAAGAAGTCAAAAAGGAGGTTGTGTCTCTCTTGAAGAAGGAGCATCTTAATGTTACCAAAGCAGGTGAGAAAATGCAGTAGAATAACGGGTCACAGTGATATTTTATCCTGATGGTTAGTATAGATTTGTGTAGTGGTATTGATTGCATTTTAAATGTAAAGCCAGGATTAGTTCATTCATTATATTTTGTTTAATTCTCAAATACTAGAGGTTCCAGAGGTCCCTAAAGTGAAAGCCAAACCAGAACCTGCAAAAAAAGGTATTTTTATGTAGGAAACATAAAAAGTAATATATTTGCAGAGAGTTTCAAGTAAAAAACACTGATCCTTTTATAAACCTCAAATCTAAAGGCTTGTTGGTCTCATGATTTTACAGCAGCGGTACCTCCCAAGGAACCTAAGAAGGAACCAAAGGAAAAAGTCACACCTAAACCTGTAGAAAAAGGTAATGCAAAGCCATGAAGCCACACCACGAGCATGGCTAAAAGATAACAGAGCTAGATTACTCATAGATGGTCTTAAAGATAGGGCTACTGGAAATACATTTGTTTTACTTTTTCAAAGAAGGGAGTATTTTTTTCCACTGTATTATTCAATGTGAAACTTTTCAACCAGCTTTGCCTTTTTATTTCAGAAGCTGAACCCAAAAAGGCAGAAAAGGTGACAAAAGTCGTCAAGAAAGAGGCTGCTCCTGTCCTGAAGAAGGAACAACTTGATGTTACAAAAGCAGGTAACAAACTATCTCAGAACAGGTCACGGTGTCTTTTAATACTTCTATATAGATTTACAGTGGCATAGCTTACATATTTACATTTTTATGAAACCTATGTAAAGGCTTGTTGGTGTCACGATTTTACAGCAGTGGCACTTAGCAAGGAACCTAAGAAGGAGCCAAAGGAAAATGTCAAACCTAAACCTGTAGAAAAAGGTAATGCAAAGCCATGGATTTACAGTGGCATAGCTTACATGTTTAATGTTAGGCCAGGTTAAGCTGATAAATTATATTTCTTAATATTCTCCAAATACTAGAGGTTCCAGAAGTACCTAAAGTGAAAGCCAAGCCAGAACCTGCAAAGAAAGGTATTTTTATGAAAGAAACATAAAAGTAATATATTTGAAAAAAAAACACTTATCTTTTTATAAACCTAAAATGTAAAGGCTTGTTGGTCTCATAATAATAATAATAATAATAATAGCTTGCATTTATATAGCGCCTTTCAAGGGACCCAAGGTCGCTTTACAAGTAATAGGGCAAAAACAAACATAACGAAACAAAAGTCAGACAGACCAAACAACAGATCGATTAGGGGCCGAAAGCCTTGGCAAACAGATGGGACTTGAGGGCCCTTTTGAAGGCGTCGAGTGTGGGGATGTTGCGAATCTCCGCAGGGAGAGCGTTCCAGAGGGTGGGGGCTGCCACACTGTAGGCTCTGTCCCCGAAGGTTCGCAGTTTGGTGCGGGGGGTGGTAAGCAGGCCAGAGTCTGAGGACCGCAGGTTCCGGGGTGGGGCATGTGGGTGAAGGATGTCCGATAGGTACTGGGGGGCAAGGGCATGGAGGGACTTGTAGGTAAGGAGGAGTACTTTGTAGGATATACGTGACTTGACCGGCAACCAGTGTAGGTGGATGAGGGTGGGAGTGATGTGCTGCCACGGCTTTGTGTGTGTGAGTACCCTAGCAGCACAGTTTTGGACATACTGGAGCCTGTCCAGGTTTTTTTTGGGAACCCCGAACAGGACACCATTGCAGTAGTCCAAGCGGGTGGTGACAAACGCATGCACTAGGGTTTCGGCAACCGACTCCGAGAGTGACGGTCGGAGTCTGGCAATGTTCCTCAGGTGGAAAAAGGCCGATTTGGTCACAGATTTGACGTGGGAATGGAAGGAAAGGGTGGAGTCAAGGATGACACCCAGGTTGCGGGCTTCAGGAGATGGGGAGATGGAGCAGCCGTCGACCTCGAGGATGAAGTCACCAACCTTCTGGAGCAGGGCCTTGGGTGCCACAACCATGAGCTCTGTTTTTTTGCTGTTCAGCTTAAGGTAGTTGGAAGACATCCATGTTTTGATGTCATGCAGGAAGTTGATGAGGGACTGAGGGGGGAGCTGGGAGGATGGAGTGGTGCTGAGATACAGTTGGGTATCATCAGCGTAACAGTGGAAATTGAGTCCATGATGTCGGATGATCTGGCCGAGGGGGAGCATGTAAATGGTGAACAGGAGCGGGCCAAGCACAGAGCCCTGGGGTACACCGTGGTGGACTGGGGCCGGGGGTGAGTTTGAGCCACTGATGGAGACAAACTGTTTCCTGTTATGGAGGTAGGATGTGAACCAGGACAGCGCTGTGCCAGTGATTTTGCAGCAGTGGCACCTCCCAAGGAACCTAAGAAGGAACCAAAGGAAAAAGTCAAACCTAAACCTGTAGAAAAAGGTAATGCAAAGCCATGAAGCCATGACGCAAGCATGGCTGAAACTAAAACAGAAACAAGATTGCTCATTGATAGTCCCAAAGATAGGGCTACCGGATATAGACTTTTTGAATGAGTGTTATATTTGTTTCCACTGTATAATTTAATGTGAAACGGTTCAATCAATTTGTCTTTTTATTCCAGACGCTGGACCCAAAAAGGCAGAAAAGGTGACTAAAGAAGTCAAAAAGGAGGTTACGTCTCTCTTGAAGAAGGACCATCTTAATGTTACCAAAGCAGGTGAGAAAATGCAGTCTGTAGAATAACGGGTCACAGTGATATTTTTATCCTTGTGGTTAGATGAATCGATTTTTGCAATGACAAAGCTTACATGTTAAACGTTAAGCCAATATTATTTCATTCATTATATATATATTTGTAATTCTCAAATACTAGAGGTTCCAGAAGAACCCAAACTGAAAGCCAAACCAGAACCTGCAAAGAAAGGTAATTTTATGTAGGAATCTAAAAAGTAATATATTTGCAGAGAGTTTAAAATAATAAACACTTGTCTTTTTAGACCTCAAATCTAAAGGCTTGTTGGTGTCATAATTTTTACAGCAGTGGCACTTCCCAAGGAACCTAATGGCGCATTTCCACTACACGGTCGGCCTCGGCGTGTATTACAATTAAATCACGGTCAAATATGTCCATCTTGTTGTAGTTCTAGCCCTCTTGCCAGCGCTCCTCTCTCTAGTTTAGCATACTCAGCCCGACTCAGCCCTGTTTGTTGGCCCCGATAGAACCACAATTTTGTCGGGTCAGAAAAGAGGTGAAAAAGTGGCCCCGGGCCGGGCCGGGCCGTACCTAGGCCTAGTGGAAGCGCAACCAAAAACGGGTACGGCACGACACGGCACGCTTAAAGCGAGCTCCGCGCTGTAGTGGAACTGCGGCATAAGAAGGAACCAAAGGAAAAAGTCACACCTAAACCTGTAGAAAAAGGTAATGCAAAGCCATGAAGCCACACCATGAGCATGGGTGAAAGACAATAGAGCTAGATTACTCATAGATGGTCTCAAAGATAGGGCTACTGGAAATAGATTTGTTTGACTTTTTTCAATGAAGGGTATATTTGTTTCCACTGTATAACTCATGTGAAAGTTTTCAACCAGCTTTGCCTTTTTATTTCAGAAGCTGAACCCAAAAAGGCAGAAAAGGTGACTAAAGTCATCAAGAAAGAGGTTGCTCCTGTCCTGAAGAAGGAACAACTTGATGTTACAAAAGCAGGTAACAAACTCTCAGAACAGGTTATGGTGTCTTTTAATACTTACGTAAATAGTATGGATTTACAGTGGCATAGCTTACATGCTTAATGTTAGGCTAGGTTAAGATGATAAATTATCATTCTTAATATTCTCCAATATTAGAAGTTGCTAAAGAACCTAAACTGAAAGCCAAGTCAGAACCTGCAAGGAAAGGTATTTTTATGTAGGAAATATAAAAGGAATATATTTGAAAACTGTTTTATATATATATATACCTAAAATCTAAAGGCTTGTTGGTCTCACCATTTTCCAGCAGCGGCACTTCCCAAGGAACCTAAGAAGGAACCAAAGGAACAAGTCAAACCTAAACCTGTAGAAAAAGGTAATGCAAAGCCATGAAGCCACACCACGAGCATGGTAGGCTAGATTGATCATCGATGGTCTCAAAGATAGGACTACTGGAAATAGATGTTTTGAACTTTTTTCGATGAAGGGTGTATTTGTTTCTGCTGTATAACTTATGTGAAACTTTTCAACCAGCTTTGCCTTTTTATTTCAGAAGCTGAACCCAAAAAGGCAGAAAAGGTGACTAAAGTCATCAAGAAAGAGGCTGCTCCTGTCCTGAAGAAGGAACAACTTGATGTTACAAAAGCAGGTAATAAAATACAGTATGTAGAATAACATGTCAGTCATATTCTATCCTTGTGGTTAGTATAGATTGAAGTGTCAGAACAGGTCACGTGTCTTTTAATACTTGTAAATAGTATGGATTTACAGTGGCATAGTTTACATGTTTAATCCTAGCCTAGGATAAAGTGATACACTATCTTTCTTAATATTCTCCAATATTAGAAGTTCCTGAAGAACCTAAACTGAAAGCCAAGCCAGAACCTGCAAAGAAAGGTATTTTTATGTAGGAAATATAAAAGGAATATATTTAAAGAGAGTATCAAATACAACTTTCTTTATATATAAACCAAACATCTAAAGGCTTGTTGGTGTCATGATTTTACAGCAGCGGCTCTTCCCAAGGAACCTAAGAAGGAACCAAAGGAACAAGTCAAACCTAAACCTGTAGAAAAAGGTAATGCAAAGCCATGAAGCCACACCATGAGCATGGCTGAAAGAGAATAGCTACATTTATCATAGAGATGGACCCAAAGATAGCGCTACTCGAAATAGATTTGTTTTCTTTTTGTCAATGAAGGGTGTATTTGTTTCTGCTGTATAACTTATGTGAAACTTTTCAACCAGCTTTGCCTTTTTATTTCAGAAGCTGAACCCAAAAAGGCAGAAAAGGTGACTAAAGTCATCAAGAAAGAGGTTGCTCCTGTCCTGAAGAAGGAACAACTTGATGTTACAAAAGCAGGTAACAAACTATCTCAGAACAGGTTATGTGTCTTTTAATACTTACATAAATAGTATGGATTTACAGAGGCATAGTTTACATGTTTAATGTTAGGCTGGGATAAAGTGATAAATTATCATTCTTAATATTCTCCAATATTAGAAGTTCCTGAAGAACCTAAACTGAAAGCCAAGCCAGAACCTGCAAAGAAAGGTATTTTTATGTAGGAAATATAAAAGGAATATATTTGAAGAGAGTATCAAATACAACTTTTATATATATATATATATGTATATATATGCCTAAAATCTAAAGGCTTGTTGGTGTCATGATTTTCCAGCAGCTGCACTTCCCAAGGAACCTAAGAAGGAACCAAAGGAACAAGTCAAACCTAAACCTGTAGAAAAAGGTAATGCATAAGATGCTATTATAATACTGGTGCAGTTTCCATGACAATACATTGTTAAACAAGTATTGTACTTTCTAGTTTTCATTACTCATCGATGGTCCCTAAGATAGGGCAACTGGAAATAGATTTTCTAAAACTTTTTTCAATGAGTGTTATATTTGTTTCCACTGTATAATTCAATGTGAATCGGTTCAATCAATTTGTCTTTTTATTTCAGACGCTGAACCCAAAAAGGCAGAAAAGGTGACTAAAGAAATCAAAAAGGAGGTTGCGTCTCTCTTGAAGAAGGAGCATCTTAATGTTACCAAAGCAGGTGAGAAAATACAGTCTGTAGAATAACAGGTCACAGTGATATTTTATCCTTGTGGTTAGTATAGATTTTTGCAGTGACAAAGTTTACATGTTAAGTGTAAAGACAAGGTTAGTTAATTCATTGTATTTTTGAAGATTCTCCAACATTAGAAGTACCCAAAGTGAAAGCCAAAACAGAACCTGCAAAAAAAGGTATTTTTATGTAGGAATCCTAAAAAGTAATATATTTGCAGAGAGTTTAAAATAATAGACACTTATCTTTTTATAAACCTCAAATCTAAAGGCTTGTTGGTTTCACAATTTTCCAGCAGTGGCTCCTCCCAAGGAACCTAAGAAGGAACCAAAGGAACAAGTCACACCTAAACCTGTAGAAAAAGGTAATGCAAAGCCATGAAGCCACACCACGAGCATAGCTAAAAGATAATAGAGCTAGATTGATCATAGATGGTCTCAAAGATAGGACTACTGGAAATAGATGTTTTGAACGTTTTTCGATGAAGGGTGTATTTGTTTCTGCTGTATAACTTATGTGAAACTTTTCAACCAGCTTTGCCTTTTTATTCCAGAAGCTGAACCCAAAAAGGCAGAAAATGTGACTAAAGTCGTCAAGAAAGAGGCTGCTCCTGTCCTGAAGAAGGAACAACTTGATGTTACAAAAGCAGGTAATAAAATACAGTATGTAGAATAACATGTCAGTCATATTCTATCCTTGTGGTTAGTATAGATTGAAGTGTCAGAACAGGTCACGTGTCTTTTAATACCTCTAAATAGTATGGATTTACAGAGGCATAGTTTACATGTTTAATCCTAGGCTGGGATAAAGTGATAAATTATCTTTCTTAATATTCTCCAATATTAGAAGTTCCTGAAGAACCTAAACTGAAAGCCAAGCCAGAACCTGCAAGGAAAGGTATTTTTATGTAGGAAATATAAAAGGAATATATTTGAAGAGAGTATCAAATACAACTTTTATATATATATATATATATATATATATATATATATATATATATATATATATGCCTAAAATCTAAAGGCTTGTTGGTGTCATGATTTTCCAGCAGCTGCACTTCCCAAGGAACCTAAGAAGGAACCAAAGGAACAAGTCAAACCTAAACCTGTAGAAAAAGGTAATGCATAAGATACTATTATAATACTGGTGCAGTTTCCATGACAATACATTGTTAAACAAGTATTGTACTTTCTAGTTTTCATAACTCATCGATAGTCCCTAAGATAGGGCAACTGGAAATAGATTTTCTAAAACTTTTTTCAATGAGTGTTATATTTGTTTCCACTGTATAATTCAATGTGAATCGGTTCAATCAATTTGTCTTTTTATTTCAGACGCTGAACCCAAAAAGGCAGAAAAGGTGACTAAAGAAGTCAAAAAGGAGGTTGCGTCTCTCTTGAAGAAGGAGCATCTTAATGTTACCAAAGCAGGTGAGAAAATACAGTCTGTACAATAACAGGTCACAGTGATATTTTATCCTTGTGCTTAGTATAGATTTTTGCAGTGACAAAGTTTACATGTTAAATGTAAAGCACAGGATTAGTTAATTCATTATATATTTTTTAATTCTCAAATACTAGAGGTTCCAGAAGAACCCAAACTGAAAGCCAAAACAGAACCTGCAAAGAAAGGTATTTTTATGTAGGAATCCTAAAAAGTAACATATTTGCAGAGAGTTTAAAATAATAAAATAATAGACACTTATCTTTTTATAAACCTCAAATCTAAAGGCTTGTTGGTTTCACAATCTTCCAGCAGTGGCACCTCCCAAGGAACCTAAGAAGGAACCAAAGGAACAAGTCAAAGCTAAACCTGTAGAAAAAGGTAATGCAAAGCCATGAAGCCACACCACGAGCATGGCTAAAAGATAACAGAGCTAGATTACTCATAGATGGTCTCAAAGATAGGGCTACTGGAAATAGATGTTTTTAACTTTTTTCAATGAAGGGTATATTTGTTTCTGCTGTATAACTTATGTGAGAGTTTTCAACCAGCTTTGCCTTTTTATTCCAGAAGCTGAACCCAAAAAGGCTGAAAATGTGACTAAAGAAGTCAAGAAAGAGGCTGCTCCTGTCCTGAAGAAGGAACAACTTGATGTTACAAAAGCAGGTAATAAAATACAGTATGTAGAATAACATGTCACAGTCATATTTGATCCTTGTGGTTAGTATAGATTGAAGTGTCAGAACAGGTTACGTGTCTTTTAATAGCTCTAAATAGTATGGATTTACAGTGGCATAGTTTACATGTTTAATCCTAGGCTGGGATAAAGTGATAAATTATCTTTCTTAATATTCTCCAATATTAGAGGTTCCTGAAAAACCTAAACTGAAAGCCAAGTCAGAACCTGCAAAGAAAGGTATTTTTATGTAGGAAATATAAAAGGAATATATTTGAAGAGAGTATCAAATACAACTTTTTTTATATATAAACCAAACATCTAAAGGCTTGTTGGTCTCGTGATTTTCCAGCAGCTGCACTTCCCAAGGAACCTAAGAAGGAAGCAAAGGAACAAGTCAAACCTAAACCTGTAGAAAAAGGTAATGCATAAGATACTATTTTAATACTGGTGCAGTTTCCATGACAATACATTGTTAAACAAGTATTGTACTTTCTAGTTTTCATTACTCATTGATAGTCCCTAAGATAGGGCAACTGGAAATAGATTTTCTAAAACTTTTTTTCAATGAGTGTTATATTTGTTTCCACTGTATAATTCAATGTGAATCGGTTCAATCAATGTGTCTTTTTATTTCAGAAGCTGAACCCAAAAAGGCTGAAAAGGTGACTAAGGTCGTCAAGAAAGAGGCTGCTCCTGTCCTGAAGAAGGAACAACTTGATGTTGCAAAAGCAGGTAATAAAATACAGTATGTAGAATAACATGTCACAGTCATATTTTATCCTTGTGGTTAGTATAGATTGAAGTGTCAGAACAGGTTACGTGTCTTTTAATACTTCTAAATAGTATGGATTTACAGAGGCATAGTTTACATGTTTAATCCTAGGCTGGGATAAAGTGATAAATTATCTTTCTTAATATTCTCCAATATTAGAAGTTCCCGAAGAACCTAAACTGAAAGCCAAGTCAGAACCTGCAAAGAAAGGTATTTTTATGTAGGAAATATAAAAGGAATATATTTAAAGAGAGTATCAAATACAACTTTTTTTATATATAAACCAAACATCTAAAGGCTTGTTGGTGTCATGATTTTCCAGCAGCTGCACCTCCCAAGGAACCTAAGAAGGAACCAAAGGAACAAGTCAAACCTAAACCTGTAGAAAAAGGTAATGCATAAGATGCTATTATAATACTGGTGCAGTTTCCATGACAATACATTGTTAAACAAGTATTGTATTTTCTAGATTTCATAACTCATTGATAGTCCCTAAGATAGGGCAACTGGAAATAGATTTTCTAAAACTTTTTTCAATGAGTGTTATATTTGTTTCCACTGTATAATTCAATGTGAATCGGTTCAATCAATGTGTCTTTTTATTTCAGACGCTGAACCCAAAAAGGCAGAAAAGGTGACTAAAGAAGTCAAAAAGGAGGTTGCGTCTCTCTTGAAGAAGGAACATCTTAATGTTACCAAAGCAGGTGAGAAAATACAGTCTGTACAATAACAGGTCACAGTGATATTTTATCCTTGTGGTTAGTATAGATTTTTGCAGTGACAACGTTTACATGTTAAGTGTAAAGACAAGGTTAGTTAATTCATTGTATTTTTGAAGATTCTCCAACATTAGAAGTACCCAAAGTGAAAGCCAAAACAGAACCTGCAAAGAAAGGTATTTTTATGTAGGAATCCTAAAAAGTAACATATTTGCAGAGAGTTTAAAATAATAAAATAATAGACACTTATCTTTTTATAAACCTCAAATCTAAAGTCTTGTTGGTTTCACAATTTTCCAGCAGTGGCACCTCCCAAGGAACCTAAGAAGGAACCAAAGGAACAAGTCACACCTAAACCTGTAGAAAAAGGTATTGCAAAGCCATGAAGCCACACCACGAGCATGGCTAAAAGATAATAGAGCTAGATTGATCATAGATGGTCTCAAAGATAGGGCTACTGGAAATAGATGTTTTTAACTTTTTTCAAAGAAGGGTATGTTTGTTTCTGCTGTATAACTTATGTGAAACTTTTCAACCAGCTTTGCCTTTTTATTTCAGAAGCTGAACCCAAAAAGGCTGAAAATGTGACTAAGGTCGTCAAGAAAGAGGCTGCTCCTGTCCTGAAGAAGGAACAACTTGATGTTGCAAAAGCAGGTAATAAAATACAGTATGTAGAATAACATGTCACAGTCATATTCTATCCTTGTGGTTAGTATAGATTGAAGTGTCAGAACAGGTTACGTGTCTTTTAATACTTCTAAATAGTATGGATTTACAGAGGTATAGTTTACATGTTTAATCCTAGGCTGGGATAAAGTGATAAATTATCTTTCTTAATATTCTCCAATATTAGAAGTTCCTGAAGAACCTAAACTGAAAGCCAAGTCAGAACCTGCAAGGAAAGGTATTTTTATGTAGGAAATATAAAAGGAATATATTTAAAGAGAGTATCAAATACAACTTTTTTTATATATAAACCAAACATCTAAAGGCTTGTTGGTCTCATGATTTTCCAGCTGCAGCACCTCCCAAGGAACCTAAGAAGGAACCAAAGGAACAAGTCAAACCTAAACCTGTAGAAAAAGGTAATGCATAAGATACTATTTTAATACTGGTGCAGTTTCCATGACAATACATTGTTAAACAAGTATTGTATTTTCTAGATTTCATTACTCATTGATAGTCCCTAAGATAGGGCAACTGGAAATAGATTTTCTAAAACTTTTTTCAATGAGTGTTATATTTGTTTCCACTGTATAATTCAATGTGAATCGGTTCAATCAATGTGTCTTTTTATTTCAGATGCTGGACCCAAAAAGGCTGAAAAGGTGACTAAGGTCGTCAAGAAAGAGGCTGCTCCTGTCCTGAAGAAGGAACAACTTGATGTTACAAAAGCAGGTAATAAAATACAGTATGTAGAATAACATGTCACAGTCATATTCTATCCTTGTGGTTAGTATAGATTGAAGTGTCAGAACAGGTTACGTGTCTTTTAATACTTCTAAATAGTATGGATTTACAGAGGCATAGTTTACATGTTTAATCCTAGGCTGGGATAAAGTGATAAATTATCTTTCTTAATATTCTCCAATATTGGAAGTTGCTGAAGAACCTAAACTGAAAGCCAAGTCAGAACCTGCAAAGAAAGGTATTTTTATGTAGGAAATATAAAAGGAATATATTTGCAGAGAGTTTAAAATAATAGACACTTGTCTTTTTATAAACCTCAAATCTAAAGGCTTGTTGGTCTCATGATTTTCCAGCAGTGGCACCTCCCAAGGAACCTAAGAAGGAACCAAAGGAACAAGTCAAAGCTAAACCTGTAGAAAAAGGTAATGCAAAGCCATGAAGCCACACCACGAGCATGGCTATAAGATAATAGAGCTAGATTGATCATAGATGGTCTCAAAGATATGGCTACTGGAAATAGATGTTTTTAACTTTTTTCAATGAAGGGTATATTTGTTTCTGCTGTATAACTTATGTGAAACTTTTCAACCAGCTTTGCCTTTTTATTTCAGAAGCTGAACCCAAAAAGGCAGAAAATGTGACTAAAGAAGTCAAGAAAGAGGCTGCTCCTGTCCTGAAGAAGGAACAACTTGATGTTACAAAAGCAGGTAATAAAATACAGTATGTAGAATATGTCACAGTCATATTCTATCCTTGTGGTTAGTATAGATTGAAGTGTCAGAACAGGTCACGTGTCTTTTAATACCTCTAAATAGTATGGATTTACAGTGGCATAGTTTACATGTTTAATCCTAGGCTGGGATAAAGTGATAAATTATCTTTCTTAATATTCTCCAATATTGGAAGTTCCTGAAGAACCTAAACTGAAAGCCAAGTCAGAACCTGCAAAGAAAGGTATTTTTATGTAGGAAATATAAAAGGAATATATTTGAAGAGAGTATCAAATACAACTTTTATATATATATATATATATATATATATATATATATATATATATATATATATATATATGCCTAAAATCTAAAGGCTTGTTGGTGTCATGATTTTCCAGCAGCGGCACTTCCCAAGGAACCTAAGAAGGAACCAAAGGAACAAGTCAAACCTAAACCTGTAGAAAAAGGTAATGCATAAGATGCTATTATAATACTGGTGCAGTTTCCATGACAATACATTGTTAAACAAGTATTGTACTTTCTAGTTTTCATAACTCATCGATGGTCCCTAAGATAGGGCAACTGGAAATAGATTTTCTAAAACTTTTTTTCAATGAGTGTTATATTTGTTTCCACTGTATAATTCAATGTGAATCGGTTCAGTCAATGTGTCTTTTTATTTCAGAAGCTGAACCCAAAAAGGCTGAAAAGATGACTAAGGTCGTCAAGAAAGAGGCTGCTCCTGTCCTGAAGAAGGAACAACTTGATGTTACAAAAGCAGGTAATAAAATACAGTATGTAGAATAACATGTCACAGTCATATTCTATCCTTGTGGTTAGTATAGATTGAAGTGTCAGAACAGGTCACGTGTCTTTTAATACTTCTAAATAGTATGGATTTACAGAGGCATAGTTTACATGTTTAATCCTAGGCTGGGATAAAGTGATAAATTATCTTTCTTAATATTCTCCAATATTAGAAGTTCCTGAAGAACCTAAACTGAAAGCCAAGCCAGAACCTGCAAGGAAAGGTATTTTTATGTAGGAAATATAAAAGGAATATATTTAAAGAGAGTATCAAATACAACTTTTTTTATATATAAACCAAACATCTAAAGGCTTGTTGGTGTCATGATTTTCCAGCAGCGGCACTTCCCAAGGAACCTAAGAAGGAACCAAAGGAACAAGTCAAACCTAAACCTGTAGAAAAAGGTAATGCATAAGATGCTATTATAATACTGGTGCAGTTTCCATGACAATACATTGTTAAACAAGTATTGTATTTTCTAGATTTCATTACTCATTGATAGTCCCTAAGATAGGGCAACTGGAAATAGATTTTCTAAAACTTTTTTCAATGAGTGTTGTATTTGTTTCCACTGTATAATTCAATGTGAATCAGTTCAATCAATGTGTCTTTTTATTTCAGACGCTGGACCCAAAAAGGCAGAAAAGGTGACTAAAGTCATCAAGAAAGAGGCTGCTCCTGTCCTGAAGAAGGAACAACTTGATGTTACAAAAGCAGGTAATAAAATACAGTATGTAGAATAACATGTCACAGTCATATTTTATCCTTGTGGTTAGTATAGATTGAAGTGTCAGAACAGGTTACGTGTCTTTTAATACTTCTAAATAGTATGGATTTACAGAGGCATAGCTTACATGTTTAATGTTAGGCAAGGATAAAGTGATAAATTATCTTTCTTAATATTCTCCAATATTGGAAGTTGCTGAAGAACCTAAACTGAAAGCCAAGTCAGAACCTGCAAGGAAAGGTATTTTTATGTAGGAAATATAAAAGGAATATATTTAAGGAGAGTATCAAATACAACTTTTTTTATATATAAACCAAACATCTAAAGGCTTGTTGGTGTCATGCTTTTCCAGCTGCAGCACTTCCCAAGGAACCTAAGAAGGAACCAAAGGAACAAGTCAAACCTAAACCTGTAGAAAAAGGTAATGCATAAGATACTATTTTAATACTGGTGCAGTTTCCATGACAATACATTGTTAAACAAGTATTGTATTTTCTAGTTTTCATTACTCATTGATAGTCCCTAAGATAGGGCAACTGGAAATAGATTTTCTAAAACTTTTTTTCAATGAGTGTTATATTTGTTTCCACTGTATAATTCAATGTGAATCGGTTCAATCAATGTGTCTTTTTATTCCAGACGCTGAACCCAAAAAGGCAGAAAAGGTGACTAAAGAAGTCAAAAAGGAGGTTGCGTCTCTCTTGAAGAAGGAGCATCTTAATGTTACCAAAGCAGGTGAGAAAATACAGTCTGTAGAATAACAGGTCACAGTGATATTTTATCCTTGTGCTTAGTATAGATTTTTGCAGTGACAAAGTTTACATGTTAAATGTAAAGCCCAGGATTAGTTAATTCATTATATATTTTTTAATTCTCAAATACTAGAGGTTCCAGAAGAACCCAAACTGAAAGCCAAAACAGAACCTGCAAAGAAAGGTATTTTTATGTAGGAATCTAAAAAGTAATATATTTGCAGAGAGTTTCAAATAATAAACACTTATCTTTTTATAAACCTAAAATCTAAAAGCGTGTTGATGTCACCATTTTACAGCAGCTGCACCTCCCAAGGAACCTAAGAAGGAACCAACGGAACAAGTCACATCTAAACCTGTAGAAAAAGGTAATGCAAAGCCATGAAGCCACACCATGACCATGGGTGAAAGACAATAGAGCTAGATTACTCATAGATGATCTCAGAGATAGGGCTACTGGAAATACATTTGTTTTAATTTTTTCAATGAAGGGTGTATTTGTTTCCACTGTATAACTCATGTGAAACTTTGTTTGCCTTTTTATTTCAGAAGCTGAACCCAAAAAGGCAGAAAAGGTGACTAAAGTCATCAAGAAAGAGGCTGCTCCTGTCCTGAAGAAGGAACAACTTGATGTTACAAAAGCAGGTAAGAAACTATCTCAGAACAGGTCTTGTGTCTGTTAATACTTGTAAATAGTATGGATTTACAGTGGCATAGTTTACATGTTTAATGTTAGGCAAGGATAAAGTGATAAATGATCATTCTTAATATTCTCCAATATTAGAAGTTCCTGAAGAACCTAAACTGAAAGCCAAGTCAGAACCTGCAAAGAAAGGTATTTTTATGTAGGAAATATAAAAGGAATATATTTGAAAACTTTTTTATATATATATATACCTAAAATCTAAAGGCTTGTTGGTGTCATGATTTTCCAGCAGCGGCACTTCCCAAGGAACCTAAGAAGGAACCAAAGGAACAAGTCAAACCTAAACCTGTAGAAAAAGGTAATGCATAAGATACTATTATAATACTGGTGCAGTTTCCATGACAATACATTGTTAAACAAGTATTGTACTTTCTAGTTTTCATAACTCAACAATGGTCCCTAAGATAGGGCAACTGGAAATAGATTTTCTTTAACTTTTTTCAATGAGTGTTATATTTGTTTCCACTGTATAATTCAATGTGAATCGGTTCAATCAGTTTGTCTTTTTATTTCAGACGCTGAACCCAAAAAGGCAGAAAAGGTGACTAAGGAAGTCAAAAAGGAGGTTGCGTCTCTCTTGAAGAAGGACCATCTTAATGTTACCAAAGCAGGTGAGAAAATACAGTCTGTAGAATAACAGGTCACAGTGATATTTTATCCTTGTGGTTAGATGTACAGTATAGATGTTTGCAGTGGTATGGATTACATGTTAAATGTAAAGCCAGGATTAGTTAAATCATTATATATATTTTTTTAATTCTCAAATACTAGAGGTTCCAGAAGTACCCAAAGTGAGAGCCAAAACAGAACCTGCAAAGAAAGGTATTTTTATGTAGGAATCTAAAAAGTAACATATTTGCAGAGAGTTTAAAATAATATCTTTTTATAAACCTCAAATCTAAAGGCTTGTTGGTGTCACAATTTTCCAGCAGTGGCTCCTCCCAAGGACCCTAAGAAGGAACCAAAGGAACAAGTCAAACCTAAACCTGTAGAAAAAGGTAATGCAAAGCCATGAAGCCACACCACGAGCATGCTAGGCTAGATTGATCATAGATGGTCTCAAAGATAGCGCTACTCGAAATATATTTGTTTTACTTTTTCAAAGAAGGGAGTATTTTTTTCTGCTGTATAACTTGTGTGAAACGTTTTAACCATATTTGCCTTTTTATTTCAGAAGCTGAACCCAAAAAGGCAGAAAAGGTGACTAAAGTAATCAAGAAAGAGGCTGCTCCTGTCCTGAAGAAGGAACAACTTGATGTTACAAAAGCAGGTAAGAAACTATCTCAGAACAGGTCATGGTGTCTTTTAATACTTACGTAAATAGTATGGATTTACAGTGGCATAGCTTACATGTTTAATGTTAGGCTGGGATAAAGTGATACATTATCATTCTTAATATTCTCAAATACTAGAGGTTCCAGAGGTACCCAAAGTGAAAGCCAAGTCAGAACCTGCAAAGAAAGGTATTTTTATGTAGGAAATATAAAAGGAATATATTTGCAGAGAGTTTCAGATAAAAAAACACTTCCCTTTTTATAAACCTAAAATCTAAAGGCTTGTTGGTCTCATGATTTTCCAGCAGCTGCTCCTCCCAAGGAACCTAAGAAGGAACCAAAGGAACAAGTCAAACCTAAACCTGTAGAAAAAGGTAATGCAAAGCCATGAAGCCACACCATGAGCATGGGTGAAAGACAATAGAGCTAGATTACTCATAGATGGTCTCAAAGAATCTGGCTACTGGAAATACATTTGGTTTACTTTTTTCAATGAAGGGTGTATTTGATTCTGCTGTATTACTTATGTGAAACTTTTCAACCAGCATTGCCTTTTCATTTCAGAAGCTGAACCCAAAAAGGCTGAAAAGGTGACTAAAGTCATCAAGAAAGAGGCTGCTCCTGTCCTGAAGAAGGAACAACTTGATGTTACAAAAGCAGGTAACAAACTATCTCAGAACAGGTCACGGTGTCTTTTAATACTTGTAAATAGTATGGATTTACAGAGGCATAGCTTACATGTACATGGAATATACTTGAAGAGAGTATCAAATACAACTTTTATATATATAAACTTAAAATCTAAAGACTTGTTGGTGTCATAATTTTCCAGCAGCGGCTCTTCCCAAGGAACCTAAGAAGGAACCAAAGGAACAAGTCAAACCTAAACCTGTAGAAAAAGGTAATGCAAAGCCATAAAGCCACACCACGAGCATGGCTATAAGATACTGCTTTATCTTTAAATGAAAAGGCATTGTAAGGGGCGGCTCTGGCTCATTGGGTAAGTGAGCTAATCTGTAACTCAGAGGGTTACCGTTTCAATCCCACCCCCGCAGTCAACATGCAGAAGTATCCTTAATAGATACTTAACCCCAAATTGCATTTATTTGCAGTGGCATAGCTTAAATGTTTAATGTGAAGCAACATTTAGCTAATAAACTATATTTTCCAATATTAGATGTTCCTGAAGTTCCTAAGGTGAAAGCCAAAGCAGTAACTGAGAAGAAAGGTGAGAGACAACTCATTCAAAAACTTGAATTAGACCATTCAAGATGAAAATATGCTAAGAAATTGTGCATCTTTTTCATTTGCTGTCACTAACTTCATTCAATTCAACAGCTACCAAGGAGCCCAAGAAGGAACCAAAGGAAAAACTCAAATCTGTATCTGTAAAACCAGGTAATGCAAAGACTCACTAATGTTGCATTTTAAAACGTTTTGGGAACTGCCTCGCTCAGAGAGGAATGTACACATTGTAGCTGAAATGCTGGACTTCCTTACATCTCCAGTTTCATAATTGATATATATGATTGATACTATTGTAACTATGAATTTGCCAGAATGTAATGGTTGTCTTTTGAAGCATTGATAGCAGGATGCAAGGTACTAACAACTAACTTATCTTTTTGTGACACAGAAGTACCAAAGGAAAAGGCCAAAGCAGCTCCTACTAAGAAAGGTACGCACATTATTGTTTTTTTTACCAAAAAACTAAATTATCCGTTGTCATAATGTAAATACTCTCCTGCTGTAAAATAACATGATACTTTTACCATACAGAAGCTGTTGTTCCAAAAGAAAAGTCCAAACCAGTCATCTTGAAAAAAGGTAAAAGTTGTGCATGTTATTAGGTAATACAAATAATGAACAAACTAAAAGTGTTACTGCCATTACTGCATGTATTTTATTTGCACATTTCTGCCGACAGAACAAGAGGGCACTCCAAGAAATGCCTCTCTGGTGAAACAGAGAGTCAAAATAGTGCCTATGAAAAAAGGTACATTATTTATGTTTATATTTGTATTTGTCTCAGATTCTCCCAGGTTTAAGTGAGTTGAGTCAACGATGTTTTTGTTCTCCTTTTTTCAGAAGTCAAGGCACCTAAAGAGAAAGTCAAGTCGGTCTCTCCAGTGACAGGTAAGGTTCTTGTGCAATATTTAAAAAAACTATAAGTTCCTGACATCGAGGTTTGGTTTTGCAAACTGATCATCATGCTATGTGTTTCGTTAGAAGCAGCGGTTTCAAAAGAGAAGCCCAAATCAGCTCCTAAAAAGAAAGGTAAGATAGTGTTTTATATTTAGCTTAATCGTTCGAGTGTTTCCTCTCATTTTGTGGAATGACAAATCTTAAATGTTTTGACACAGAACCTGCTCCACTTAAGACAAAAGCAGCCTCAGTGCTCAAAGGTAAGACGACACATGTAAACACATGTTTATGTTCAAATAAAGAAAACATGGATTTAGCTATTCATTGTATTTCTTCTTACAGTAGCAGAAGTAGCGCACAAAAATGTCTCCATAACAAAGGAGAAGGCAAAGGTGGTGCCGCTGAAGAAAGGTACATCTTATACAAAAATGTTTCATAATGCTAACCACTACAATTTGACAAACAAGTGTGTAAATACATATTTCCGTTGTTATTTGCTCTAGAAGTTGAGCTTCTCAAGGAGAAGAAGGCCACGCCAGTGACCCCCACCAAAGGTGTGTTTCTCTATATTATTAAAGTGTCTCTCTTTAGAGAGACACAAGTTTATGATTTAACTTTACCCATTAGAATTAACGGGGCTATATGTTTCTCTAGCACCTGCTATCAAAGCAAAACCTGCAGAAAAGAAGAAAGGTATGTGGCAGGAGTTTGTTTCTCTAGTGCTTCCTAGCTACTAACATGTGGCTGCTGATTAAAAACAAAATAAGAATACCATCAAAAATATAACTTTAAAGAAATGTTGAGGAAGCTACCCAAGTGTGTTGTTATTTTAGTGTAGCCGTGTTTTTGTCGGGTCATTTGTATGTTTAGGCTTGTATCTGAATTAACACGCTTCACTATAAGCTGACAGTTTTTTTTGCATGTGTGTGATTACCTAAAAAGACGGATAACTTGATATTTTGAAGATGTTTTTATCAAAGCAGAAATATTAGATGCTTTATCTAAGCTGCATTGTGTTGCGAAATTATTGCAAAGGCCTAATGAATAAATGTTGTCATGGTTAATAGCTAACATTTCAATCCCATCTTCAAGACATTATATATATATATATATATTTTCAGTACTCATCAAGAAGCAAAAACAATCATGCCATTTTTTCCCCTTCCTATTTAGAACCTGAGGCCAAGGCACTTCTTGCCAAAACAGGTAACTTAAATACAACCAATACTTATTCTGTAAAATAATTATTTTCCTAAGAAATGTTATATTTTCATGACTCTTAGCACCTGAAGTTACAAAGGAGAAACCTAAACCAGCTCAAGAGAAGAAAGGTACATTTATTTGAACAACAACAAAGTCATAGATATTTACAAATTATTAATTTATTTACAATTTAAACATCTTTTTTATTGAACTAGCTCAATTTGAATCAAAGGCTGCGACAAAGAAGGAATCACTTCTAAAGAGAAAAGGTAGTCTGCCACTTTCCTGACCCGGCACAGATCTTCTGGGGTTGTTTTGTAGCTTTACACAAATGATTGTTATCATCTACTAATATATAATTAAATGCTAATAATGTAATATTGCAGTGTTACTTCAGCAACTATAATCAAACTAAATGACAAAGCTACTTAATACAGATCAACAAATGCTTACATTTGTATTTACTCAGAGCCCAAAGTGCCAGAGGACAAAGTGAAACCAGCTGTAAGAAAATGTACAGAAACAACAATATTGACTTCTAACTACTTAAATATGTGTACTTATTACTTGATGTTGATATCAGCTATTTGTGTCAGTTTGGCACTTTCCTTTAATCTGATGTAAGTATACGCCAAACATTGTCACAAATGTATTAACTGTATTTTCTCCCAGCATTGTTGAGGAAAAGGGCCAAACCAGTCCATGTAAAGAAAGGTACATTAGTGGTGCTTCAGTAGGGGTAGTCCACATAACCAGTGACTGTAATAACAGTTATGTAGTTACAAAATGTAGGTCGTAGTAAAAGCTGATTGGATTTATCAGCAGAAAAACACGCATGAGATCCATAATAAATCAATATTATGCAGAGGAGGTGGAGAGTGATTTTTCTCCTGAGGAATACTGGATGCTTGTTCAGACACTTTTAGTTAGTAAATCTGCGCAGCACTTCGATTTAATAGGCTTTTATAACTCTTACCTTCTTACACGTGGGAAATAAAGAGTGGGGAATCCAAAACAAATGCTATCCAACCTACCCAAACATAACAATGTGTTAGAAATGTTGGAATGTATCCGGACACTACAAATATATGACATGCAACAAGCATTGCAAAGACTCAGAGCCAGAAGGATCACACTTGACAAACCAACACACATCAAGGTTTCAGATCACACTGAAAAACCCCCAAATGTTCCAAAAACAATGGTGTTTATCTGCTCAACAGAGATGAACTTTTTTAACACTAACTACAGCCTTTGAACGTAGTTAGATGTGCTCTGCAAGCTGCTTTTAGACCTTTTTAAATGTGATTATTTAGTTGTTGTCATGCTGCTGCGGCTCCAGCTGTTTTGAATTGTTGGAAAATGAGAGAATTGCAGCTTCCGCTCACAAGTAATGTGTCCCACTTGGCAGAGTCTGACCTAAGTTTCCCTTTTGCAGAACTGGACATATCTAAAGAAATGGACAAACTTGCTGAATTGGAGAAAGGTACGTTGTTAAGTGCAATAACAACAGTTCTTTTTTACCATTATTTTGATACATTTAATTATGGAGAAGGATGCTGAGTTAATTTGGTGATATGAGGCTAAGGTTTTATAGTTTAATAAATGTGCTGAAACTCTATAAATACTGGTAGCTGTATATTATATGAATTGTATTTTCTTCCTGATAAAACAGCCATTTCTAGGGAAAAGGCCAGAGCGCTGCGTTTGAGGAAAGGTACATTTGTGACGCTTCAGTAGAGGCAGCACGCCATGTAACAATGTAACCTTTACAGTAGGCTAATAACAACATGTTATCTGAAGGCTAAGCATATTGTACTGCTGAATGCGAAAGTGTCCTTCATAGCTCTTTATACAAAATAGTCCTTTCTAGGAAATGTAAAAATTAAGATTTATGGACATGTTCTTATTCAGCAAGAAACTATTCATCTGCAATTTTAGCTTTTCTTTCACTGTGCAGTACACGGCATTTGTAATGCTTTTTAATATCCTGTTTTAACAACACCGAGATGTTTCTTGATGTTTTCAGCTTTCGCTTCGCCATGGGATCTTATGCATGTATTTTCATTACGACATATACGTTTAAAGCAAATGAGCCACAGCTCACATGCATAGATGCTGCACTGGCTTAAACAAGCAAGAAAAAAACATTTGACTTATACTGATGGGCAATGAAAACGATATTTCTAATCATCCATTTCTTGTCTACTTGTGTTTCTTTTACATTTGTGCGACAGAGCTTGACATTTTAAAAGAGCAAGTCAAACCCATCGCAACAGAGAAAGGTACTTCATAAAACTATAGCTTTGAGTATAGCGTTGATTACATCAATACATCTACATTTGCTGTTCATTTATTAAAAATGTGTGACACTTTGCAGAAGACAGAGTTCGTAAAGAAAAACCAGAGCCTGTAGAGAAAGGTATCTTGATTGAAAGAAACTGACAAAAATGTTACACTACACCTACTTGTGGACTACTTATGGACAAATATGAAAACGATTTTGAGTTATTATTATTATTCTTTTTTAGAAAAAACTCTAAAGAAGAAGGCCGCCAAAGAAGAGAAATCTAAAGGTACATTGTTGTGCACTCAGTATTGAACATTAACCTCATCAACTCAGCAAAATGTGTGAATGTCATTAAAAAATACCATCACCAGCTGCAGTCACACTGCAGGAAGCGGTTTAAGTCTTTGACTAATACAAGTTATTCATCTTGTGTTGCTATTTACAGAGGACAGAGTTCTTAAAGAGATACAGGAGCCGGCAAAGAAAGGTACGACTGTTTGTCAAGCCACTCAATCATTAGTGTATGAAAGCATTTACTTTATTCACAAAAGATGAAATGCTCTTTTTGTTGTAGAAAAAGCTGCTGAGAAGAAAGTGGCTAAGGAGGAGAAAATCAAAGGTACTGTGCAGAGAAGCTGTTATTTAGGATAGTGTAACATTGTACTGTTTTATGGTTAACATTGTGTTCTTATTTTGATAGCCGAGGCTTCTGTATCGGACAGCTTTCAGATGGAAGGTATGTACAAATTCTCCTCTCATAACCGAAATATCACACAAGTGACACAAGTGACACAAGTGTGCAAATTGCACGCTCAGTTATCAGTTCAGATGCCAGAGAGGGACACAGTGTCCTGACTGTAATGTCAAATATTGTCCTGTCCCCCACAGAAGAGCCCTACTTCCAGTGTTTCTTCGTGGACGAGGAAGAGGCCCAGTTTCCTTTCTACGCCTTCTCACCGATGCAGATTTGATAGGTTTACAATTTAGTCAATTTTACTGATAACGACAAGGTCACGTCACGCCCTGCCGGCGCTGCTGAAACGCAGACGGCTGCTCACTGCTGGTCTTCAGGAGATAACCCTGGACCGCAGAGGATGACGAGGGATTTTATATGATGGACCGATTTTATTTAACTTCCAGATTTGGTTGAGCTCTCTTTCCATGCAGCCAGTGTCATTCCTTTCCATTTTTATTTGTATTTATTGATTATTTCTGTGTTTAATTGTTTTGAAAGGTGGATATCATGATGGAACAATATCGTTTATTACCTCTGTGGATCATTCATTTAGATCCCCACAGCAACACAAGCAAAGTAATACAATTGTGCATTTTTTTGAAGAAGAAACATAGTGCTGTACACAGGGTACAGGGCCACAGTTGCATTTTCATGGGTTCAATTCCCACATTTACTTGAAAAGTGGTTTGTACAGTTATCATGCATTTTACGCACCGTCATTGTCTTTTTCCTTCACTGCATTGTAGATGGCGAGTCTTTAATGCTCACCTTTTTTGCCTTTAGGCCCTGGAACAAACAATTGGCCATTTGTGTTGTCTGTGCATAATTCATGATATTTATGATTTTTTCAGTTATTTAAAAAAGAAACTTATTTTCTCACATATTCCTCTATCTAATGAAAGAAAGTTGTTTCTGTTTCTGTCTCCTATGTCTACTATGTGTCAAAAGGAATGACCACACACTGTATATGAGAGCTCCCAAATGTTCTGAGGAAAAACTACCTACTAAGTCTTATTAAACTACCACCATGTGCACACAGCTCCTCATTTTGACATCTAAAATCAAGCAATGCATGGCCTGCAGTGTCAGGGTTCATATCAAAGTAAAGCATTCATTCACTAGTTGGATGTTATGTTAGAAAGTTGTGTTTTTTCCAGCTGCTCACTGTTGGAATACTTAATCTATGGCATTTTAATTTAAAAAATATGTTTTACAAGCTGGGACATTATTAGTAGGGAACATGTGAGGATTTATTTTGTCAGTCAAGAAGGATGTGGCTAACAGCGATTCCTTGATAGACCAAAAACACACTGACCCTTGGTTCAGTGTCTGTGTGCACAACATAGAAACATGATATATATATTTAGCAACCTTTTGAACAGGGGCTTATTAAACATTATGCTAGCATAATGGTTTAAAGTCTTTGAAAGTATCATCATAGTTTATGTATTTAACATAAAATGATATTATTGCATATCTCATGCTGTTGCATCCCATACACTGTGCTAAACAAATGGTTACAGGATTCATATTATAATTTATGAATATCTTGTGCATGTGATGTACAGTTTGGGTTATGATTTAGGATTGATTTCAAGTCACGTATTAGAAATATCTGAAGAAGAAAATGATGACAAGACAGCAGCGAGACTCAGCTATCCTCCAGGTTTATTTGACAACCTGAAGGTGCTTGTTAATGTGGTTACGATGAAGTCTAGTGTAACACATTTAATATTTACATTTTTTAAATCGTACGATTGAGGCAGATGGCGTCACATGTTTGAGCAGTTGATCTCAGATGTAAACGGGTACATTGTTTTTCAGCGTGCACCAGATGTTGTTTACATACGGCTCTTTACATTTCGTTCAATATGCCGTCATCACAGCTTGTGGCGTTAATCCCAAGTTTAATCAAACGTAAATGTAATTATCTTTTATTTATTAGAATAAACAGTTTCTATTGTGGTGCACCCTCTGCAGCTCACAGTGAGCTCAGACTCCAGTAACTGTGCTGTAACAGCTGGAGTTTCATGGTGATGATTATCTGATGTTTTAGATTTAGACTTTGTTACCAGAGTGTACTGTCTTTGAATATTTATTTTTTCGGTGATAAAGTTGCTATTGTAAAAAAAAAGACGTTTGATTTAGGGTGAAAAAAAGATGAATATTTGTTTCAATCTTTTGACTGAATTGCATTTGAAGACTCTGTTAAACCAGGAAAATGTGCAATACATACATTGTTAAAGATCTCATTGGTCAAAGCACCGTCTGTTTGTCTGATTGAAAGAAATGTGCATGATGGGTTTTTTTCATGCTCATGAATGTTTGGTGGTATTTTTTCCCAGATTTGAGAACATTTGAACTCTAGTATCATTTGATACCAATTACTGACATGTGTCTCTCAGTTGTGATGCTAAAAAGGTACCTTACATATATATTGAAAACAATCTAATTGTAAATAGTAAAATGAATGGAAAATGACATCGTCCTTATGCTTGTGAATTGTACCAATTTGACATTAAATCCTTGCAATAAAAAAGTTGTTTGTCTTTCTCTAAAGGTGCCAACACCTCTTTCACAGTGAGTCCAGCCTATTTCTTAGGTGACACAAATATTTCGAGATACTTTTTGTGTTCAAACACAAAGATTGATGAATATTTTAGTATGAAATGTATTAGTAAATACTAATACATAACTATGACATATTTATATGATTTAATATTCAGTTATATTCAAGCAGAAACTTCAGCTGTTCTAGTCTCATAAATGTGTTCACAACTTTTTTAAAGTCTAAGAAAATTACTCTTTGTGATGTTTTTATGACATAATGTGACTTTTTATGGCTTTCTTATGACATAAAATACAGTGATGTTTCGTGACTATAAAAAAATATTGCATATAATGCTATGACTTTATTACTTTTTAAAGGCCTTGCTCTGAACATTGCAGTGCCATGCCGTCTGGCTAAGTCCTTTTAATGAGTCATGTCACCAAGCCTGACAAAAAAAACATGCATAACGTGTGTTATCATAGAATATAACCCCACCCCCCCTTCAACTAATTTAAGCCCCCATATTTCCACAAATGATGGACCATGTTGTCAATGGTATGACCCTGGTATGGCCCTGATGACTGTATGATGTGTGTTTGAATAGGAAAGAGTACCAACTGAAGGCAGTATAGTAGGTCAGGTCATCACGCTATTCTCTAATGAGGCCAGAGAGGTTACTTCAGGTCAGTTTACACCGCTCACACAGATTTCACACGAGGAGAAAACTTCCTTTGCTCTTCTAGGAACAGAAGGACCTACACGTTATCTCTTACTGTTTCTCCAAAATGGGAATGTAATAATCTCCCTTTTAAAACATTTCCGTGTGATTGTGCTGCAGTGAAAATTGTTACCTAAACTCACATGAACTGTTTTCACCCCAAATACTTATGCAAATGATTTTGCCCGGTTCTGTGAGAATAGAGGCAATTTTTGGCATACTATGAGTGGAGCATAAAGACGGATTCTGATTGGAATTAATTCAGTGGGCAAGGCCAATGAGTTCCACTCCAGTTACCACGGTTTCTTTGTGTCACATGCTATTCAGAGGTGGCCAGAAACTTGGCAGCCTTTGCCTTGAGATGAGAAGAATGGCCACTTGTAGTCACAGTATTCAGTAGGCTAGACACAGCTCACAGGACAGGACAGGGAGGCTTTACTTGGCTTCTTAAAATGTGGGAAAGATGGATGATTAATGAGGGAACTTAAATGAAAAGCCCAACACTCGGAGATCAGAAAGGTTTAGTGGTGAGACTCTAACTTTAGACTCTGAACTACTAACCGTGGGATATTGGATTGATAAAACTCTTCTCATCCGACACAGTGTCCTTGCACGTTCTGCCTCTCATCTGTCATGCTAGCGGCAGCATTCAACCAGGGTTGGTCCACACACCATCGAATGATGCCTCTACGTAATGACGCCACAACTAAAACCGGATTATGCCGAGTGACATCACCACCCCCACCCCCCCAGCTCCTAGCCGTCTCTGACCATCTGGGTGTTACTAGAGGACACTAATTCCCATGAGTTCAATGGTCACACAGCTCTGGCCCGCACCATCACCCTGCAGCTGTCACCTGGAACTGACCCATCACAGGGAGACCACTGTTCCCACAACTTAGGTTGACCAATTGAAAAGAAATGGGACTACATTCAAAGTCGCATGAAAAAACGACACCCTGAATGAAAAGGCTAGCTCTGTTGAGATAAAGAGGCACTGATACAGCGTTCAAAGACAAATGAAAAGTCTGAGACATAAAGGTTTAGTAAAGCAGTTTATTTTTGTGATGCACAGATTGGAACTGTTTTAGGCCCTTCACAGTCTGAATTTCTTACAAAAGATCTTACAAAAGATTGCCCATAATATTTATATCATGTTACAATAGCAAATCAAGTGCAAATCACTGCATACTGTTAAAAAACAAATAAAAACATGTTTGTTAAAAAAGGGTAACTCCTTGTTGATCGATTGCAGTGCAGGGAGGATTTGCTCATCAAGTGGACAAGTTAGGCTTTCTCATATATGCGGACCGCCTGGACTCCTTCGAAAGTCACAGTCTGTGAAGCAGAGAAAAAGATTTTTATTTTAATGCAAAGTTTCATGTTTCTTTGGGTCATATGATATAATGTATTACACCATTGCAAAGTCATGTTTATTTGTTTAGCACATATCAGCAACAGGGTCATTCAATGTGCTTGAGATAAGCATACGCTCCATAAAATGATAAATGAACCCACAATGATTACAGCATGTTTCTCTTCACTTATCAAAATAAGTTTTGTGTTAGTCATTCTTACCGCCACCAGCTTCCCATCCTTAATTTCTCTGACAAATTTGGTCTCCTTGCCGTCCCACTTTTGCACTTGCACAAATGTGTCTCCTTCCATGGAAAAGGTAGACTGCAAGCATAAGTAAGCACAATATAGTTAAAACCATCTCAGGAGGATTTACAGCCAGAACACATGATGTTAGAGTCAAGACTACACCCTGATTTCTTTCTTACTTTGACATGTCGGTCATCAGGTGTGGTCTCATCAAACTCCTCTCCAAGTTTGGCGGAGACCTCAGTGTTCCTGAAGGTGCTCTGAGTTTTCAACACCACTTTGTCCCCATCCTGTTCGATCACCACTGTGGGTTTGGTGACATTGCCCACTTGTCTGGTGGCAAAACCAACACCTGTTAAGAAGAAAAATACAAATAAGTGCCTTTACGGCAATGACAACTACTATTGTTTACTTCTATTCTATGCTAAAAAGTGAAATGATATGTAAGATATATATATATTATAACTAAGTATAAACTACTATTCCAGTATCACAACTTTGCTCACTGTAGGCTACTCATCAACTTTTTTTATATAAAATAAATGATCTTATCTTACCAAGTGCCTTCATGTATTCATCAAAGTTCTGGCTGTCCACCAGTTTCCATGTCCCGCAGAAAGCAACAACCATCTTTGCAAATTGTATTGGTTTGTTAAGTATCAAACTGTAAGACCTGCTCTGTTCTTCGTGCAATAAATCCTGCAGCGTGTGTCCGAGAAATAAATACTGTGACCGAGGGGATGACCCGGGAGGAGGCGGGAGAGCTGATTGGACGATCCCGAAGCTTCGTGGGCTGTGATTGGTCATCACAAATGTGCCGTTAATATAATTGTAACATGACTGATTAATGTGAAATCGTAATGTGTTCTCTGAAAACTATGTAAAAAGAGTATAGAAGTCTACATGATAAATGTAAAAATATACAATATATATTAAATGTCCGACAAAAGGAACAAAATATAAACCTTTTCACATTTATCTAAGTATTATTTACTCAGTTTCACACTGTCGACAGTCAGAAGACGGTTGGCCTTTAACCACAGGGTTTTATATAGGGAGCGTCATTAAATTATCCCTTTGACAAAAAAAGTCATTAAAAAAGTCGCAATTTGTTTTACTACTGCATATCTTTATTGTTGATAAAATATTTTCCGCATACCTAATCTGAGACAGATACAAACAGATGTCCACTGCCATGATACAGTAGAGGTCCTTATCAATAACACCCAAAATGTAATCAATAACACTATTGCTGAGTACATTTGTCCAAAAAAAAAGTACTTCTTGGCACTAATTAAGGCCAGATTTATACATGAAACAACCTGCAACAAGCATAAAAAGTTTTATAAAACAAAATCAGATTTCTTCCCAAATATCACATTATTTTGTCACTATTTCAAAAACATTATTTAAAATAATGTTTTTATTTTACTTCCCTGAAGTTCACATAAAGTTCATGCAAATTAACATTAGATGTTTCACAATAAAAGAGCAACTCAGGGATCTTTACTTAATCAAGGAGGGTAGGGGCAGAAATAATTTGAATGTTTTACAGTATGATTTTGAAGCAGCGGTGAGCAGCAAATTCATAAGGTCATAGATGGATACATTAAACAATGATTTTGGCTCCAGAGTTATTCCTATGAATGTAAAATCATAGATTAAAGTGAAACCAAAGACACTCTACTGGTTTTTCAGCTCTAAACAGTGTGGATAATGTCCAATACATCTAATAAAGTAATTTAACCGATTGAAGAATATGGCAAAAAGCTTCACTCAAACAGTTGATATGTCATGTCACACCTTAAAGGTAGGGTAGGTAAGTTTGAGAAACAGGCTCGAGATACTTTTTTTGTTATATTCCATGGAATGCTCTTAACATCCCGATAGCAATGAATATCTTAAGTGCTTTGACAACAAATCCATAAAAAAAAAGTCATCTGTGGAAGCCGTAGTACTGTAAAAAGCACGACCAATCCTTTTAGCCGGCCCGGCTAAAATAACTGGATGGCCTACCTGCCTGTCAGCCTTCCATCTGTGCACAAACTTATCTTGTGCCCTCATTGGTCATGTGCGCGTTCGTGTGTGTTGGAGGAGGGGCTCTGTAAGGAAGTGGCAGATTTTCTCCGGCTGTGTATTTTCAAATTCTAGCGATCTCGAGCCGGTTTCTCAAAATTACCTACCCCACCTTTAAGTGCTAAATGTAGAGCCAAATGATCAAACCATCCATTACTGAAATACTTTAACCGTTTACTTAGAGAGCAGGGGTTTTAGATTACAGAAATGTAAATGTGTTTTACAGTGAGAACTTGGAGATGAAAGCAGACATGGCAGCAGAGGTAGAGCAGGAGAGGCAGAGAGTGAGGTAGGGAGGACAGAGCAGCACCCAGGCTTCTCCACATTAAGGCCTATCTCCCTTCTCCTTATCAACCTAAAACAACCCCATTATCCAGATAAATGTTTTTGTTCTTGGTGCACAGTGATAGGTTTATCACAAACATAAGCATCACTTTCAAATACCTTTTGAGCAACAACAAAACTGACTGATGGTAGATTTTTCTTTAAAGCCACTAGCTTGTATGTTATTACCCTGATTGCAGTATGTATACAAGTCAACAAACAGTATATAAAACAGAAACGTCAGTATAACCGCCACCCTGTACTGTAAAAGCAAAATCTAATTTGAAGTAGCATGAGCTCATACTTTAAGTATAAGGGAACAGATTAAAAGTTATAGAGAGGATGAAAGACAAACATAGGGCATCTAAAAATAAATCCAGTAATTGTGCATTGAAATAATGCAGATTACAGTCAAATGTTACAAAACAGATTTGCAAATAGTGAAAAAGAAAGGCCTTCTCTTCCTTAAAAAAATAAAGAGTTTTGTCAGTTGGTTTTATAATCTTTCTGGTGAAATACAGTAAAAGAAAAAACAGGAATGGCACAAGATTGACGTCAAGTGGATTGTCCTAATCGCATCATGCCATCTGTGTGTGTGCATGCAAGCGGTTAATAACTAGTTCTGATGTGTCCATGCACCCACGGGAGCGGGATGCTATCTGAATACCCCAACGTTGATTGACAGCGCTACTTCTGGTTTCCTGGATTTGTTAGGTCCAGCCTTTTTCTGTGGTCCAACACCGTCTGAGTCTGCAGCCGGCCCTCTGAAAATAAGCAAAGGTAAAAACCATTACCAAAGGATTGTGGATAAAAAGCACAGAACATAAGGCATAACTACAACTAATTTACAAAGTTGTGGTACAGCAACAGTACTAAAGATTGTAGGCACAAGATGAGTTTTTTCTGTTCTCTATAGTCTAGCAATAACATCCAGAAAGCCATAATCCCCATGGTTAGTAAAAGTCACAAGCATTTTTCCTGCAGCTGCATGTGTTGAAGTAAAGCGTCCCACCCTTTCCTGCGCTGCTCGGCCTGCTCCCTGAGCCTCTGCTGGCCCCGCTCATCCTCCAGGGTCAAGAAGTTCCTGTTGTTGTCAATCAAAAGATTCTGGGAAAAATATCAACAATTATTTCTCAGAGAAATAAAACCAGAACAGATTCGTTTTTAGAAAACAAACAGGGTTTTGTTATTACCTTGATGCCTACTGTGTCGCCATCTTTGAGGTGAAATGGCGCTCCCAGTAGTGACTCTGCCTTTCTCTTCTTTTTCTTTTTGGAAACCTGCTGGTTCTGAAAGTACATACTGCATATTATTCACTAATAATATTACAATGAATGATCAATATATACAAGAATACTGAGGTGTAGGGATACTTTCTTTGCTTTGGAAATACAAATCCCACAAGTTCCTGATAAAATGATGACACGATGATCAATGTTGACACACCCACTTTTGGCTACATTACATGCAGTCAACATTCCTACCTAATGTTCTTCCCAAACTCTTAACAATACAATTTCCACTACACATTTTATTTTTGCGCAAAGCTTGCAAGTACACATATGGGTTCCCTAAAAAACCCTTAAACACGGTCCTTCTCTAGAAGTGACTGTCTCCTAATCTTACCCAGGTGGACATTTCCTCCCAGGTGTGTTTGTCCGGCTGGTGTTTGGCCAGCAGCAGAGAGTCAGGGGAGAAGCCGTAGTGAGCAGCCAGACAGGTGCGCAGAGAGCGAGGAGACGAGTCTCGGGCTGCATCCCAAACCAGCTCCTCTGTGGGGTAGAAACACCTCTCCCCTGGTACTCCCATTTTAACATTCAGCATCACATCCTTAGGACTTAGGAACAGAAGGTCAAATAATTAGACTTAAATAACGGAAATGCACAATAAGAAGAGTTTCTAATATCATCGAGGGATTCAACATAACATTATTTATAAAGTAGAAGAATTATGACAGTCAAACTTTACCCAAGATCTTCTTCTTTTAGTAGCGGTTGCACACAAAGATCCATACCACTGGTCAGCTTCAATTTCCTGATCAGGAGAAAATAAAACATCTTCAGTTTTGATAAAAAAGTAGAATGCAGTGGCCAATATATTAAATAGGAAAAAACGTTGTTCATACTTGAGTGTAAGCTGCTGTCCTCTGAGGATACGTGCCAGCCTCTGACACTCAAGCTGCCACACACGCATGAAAGCAGTGATTGGCACACACACATCCTGAAGGGCAGGCAGCGTCAACACCTAATACACAAGTAGATAGATAATATTTCATTAGTAAATAGCATCAAAAACACTTTGCATGGCCTGATCTTTAAGTCTTTTAAAAAACAGATAAGCAATGCAGCTTCCTTTACATGCATGTTGTTTTAGTTGGCCTTAATACTGCCTCACATCCAGCAATGTAAATACGAGTATTTATGTCATGGTCTCATAATGAACTAGTATGACTGGAAAAGGGCAGCTCTCAGAATCAAGTAATGATGACAGAAAACTCCAGAAATCTAAGAGGAATAGTTTTTGGAAGTTTTAAAGTTGCCTCAAAGTACAAACGACTATCAATTCCTGTTTTTGGTTTAAACCTCAATACACTACCTGAGTCTTGAGATCCTCCAGCGTGGCTTCGTCTGATATCTCCACCTGTCCTGCACTTCTGAGCTCTGCCGTGTTGCCGATACAGAGGGGGGGTGAGGGGCTGTGCGTTTCACTTGCAGTCAAAAGCTCCAGCATTTGCTCCTCAGTGTGGCCGTTGTCAGTGTGATTAAAACCTGTGAAATCTGACGAGTTGTTTCTGGGATCCAGATACAGCCACACGGATAACTTGAGAAAACCCTGACAGAAAAACAAAAAAACAAACGCTTAAGAGAGACGTAAAGTTAGACTTTAGAATGAATCTCAACCCAAAATCTAAACGTTAAAGTACCTTTGGAGGAAGTTGTCCTTCTGTGACGATTAAAGTCTCTCCATTGTTAATCTTCAGCTCTGACAGAGGAGCATCCTGAGAAAAAAAGATTTTCGTTTTAAAAACTGGACAATATTCATATAATTATTTCAAATAGAAGTGAATATTTGAAACACTACTTGGTGTGATGCGAGTGGATTTTTGTTTTATTCATGGTTTTGTATTTTATAGTCTTTCAGACAATATTCTCTCAATGTAGAATGTCTGGTGCTAAATATTATCAATAAAGTTGGTGGAAAACTAAAACTGATAACACTGTTTGATTTAGGTACAACACATTGTGCACACTACAGTCAGCCGCTCACCTCATCCATGATTGGCTCTCCAACCTCCTCACACCAATCGAGCCTTCTTAAGTGCCAACAGGTGCCTGTAAACACGCATTTAAAATTACATACAAAACTGAATTCCCTATACAACAGTAAAATATCAGTTTGATTACAGTCCTACAAAAACACAGATTATTTGTTATAAGGTACAGTTCATGCAAGTTAACTGCAACAGTAAGAAAACTGAACAAATATATTTGTACCATCAAGTCCAACATCATCCAGCATTGCCTTTAGACACTGCAAATAATCAAAAAGGTAATGATTTAAAAAGTTACATGTATAAAAAAAATAGGTAACATAAGCACATTATAATTGTTTCATGAAATAAGTTTCCTCACCTCTTTTACAGTAAATGATTTCTCCACAAGTATGTCCTTCTCAAAGCCAGCAGAGGGCGCTGTGCCCACAGAGAAGTGCAAGAAAAGCTGCAGAAAGGAAATCTTACAACATCAACATCAATCAAGCATTTTAAACGCTCATAACTTTTCCATTTGTTTTTAAATGTAGGATAGTAAAGGTTTAATCACTTTAAGGTAATGTAACACCTGTGCAGCTGCAGGTACAAAGGATTTACTGAAGCTTTCAAATAAAAAACACACACCTGTGAAGCCTTGGGGGCATTTCCCGGACAGAGAGTGAGTGTGGTCATGAGGCGCACTCCTGCATCCCGAACACTCAGCTCCTCACACACTGTCGGGCACAAGCAGTGAGACAACACAAGCACACTTAGTAAATGTGTTATAACACTTCAAACAAAGATGAGAAGAAACATTACAAGCAGGGGGAGTACCTTTTCAACATTTTATGAGGGGGCACTGTAAAGGAATCTTAATATTTTGGTAAAATGAGGGGGATTTCCAGCCCCATTTAAATCACCCACAGGTAACACATGAGACAGTACCTGGAGGAAGGAGTTTCCCTGTGCAGTCCACCTGTCTCAGGCAGTGCTGTGCACCTGGTCAGTGAGACAGAAACAGCTGATCTAAGTAATAGTTCTTACATAACACTGCAAACGTAAACACAAATACACATTTTCTGTTTTACTTCAGTTTAGCCGAGACAAAAATGAAGGTCCTGAACCAGTTTTAGCGATCATTTATAGGCACATTATATATTTTATAATTTATCTAGACCTTCTTTATTAATAAGAAGATGATCCTTTGGTCCAGTTTTGAGGATACATACATTTATTTGAATAAGAAATTGATAAAATATAAAAGCTGAAACAGTATGGCCTCAAGTATGACATGTTCCAGTCTAATGGCCTGTGATTTTACATTTAGTAGGAGACAGTCAAGATGTTTTATTTACTTTATTATACTATAATAAAAAACAGATTAAACGGATTGCTTGTTAAATAAACTTAATCTTGTTGCTTGATTCTTAAAACAAATACTAAGAGTGACTCTGCATCTACTCATACTCTACAATAGCGGGGGTAACAGAGAATTTTTCCCTTTGAAATGTGGGTTTTTCTCTGGAAGTTTTTCCTTGTACGATGTGAGGGTCTAAGGACAGAGGGTGTCGTTTTTCTCATACTGATATTCTGAACAAACTGTGCTGTTGTATTTGCTGTAAAGTGTCTTTACTGTAGGGTATTTTATTATATGTACAGCACTTTGGCTCGACCAAAAATCGTTTAAAAATGTGCTATATAAATAAAACTTGATTTGATTTGAAATCAGGGCTATGTTTGACACAGAGCATCTTGCCTGAGGTTTGTTCCTCTATCTGCAGCTCCTCTATGGCCCTCTGTTTCACCTCACACAGCAGCTGTAAGACAGACATTCAAAACCAAATTGGGACCCTTGGAAATAATGAATACAATTGAGCGATAAAGAGGACAATCAGCAGAAAAACACTGACCATATTTCCTGTAGCTGGAACCTTAATCTTCCTCCTCTCCTCTTCTTTATCCCCTTCTTCTCCCCCTCCTCCATTTGGTCGAAACTCCACCTGGAGCCAGCGGCAGTCGGAAGGCGTCGTCACAGTGACCACGTCTCCGTTTCGAGTGAACAAACTGAGCAGAAAAGACACTAGTTACACACCAACCTCCTCAGGAACACAACATGTAAACACTTTGCGGAGCATGTACCTGCTGTCGAAGGACTGCGGCTCCAGCACCAGCAGCGCATCGCCGTCCTTCAGCGACAGCTCCTTCAGTGTCCGGTGCATGTCGTCGGGGGGGAACACCCTCCACCCACTCGCCCCTCCTCCCTCCCCTGCCCCCTGTTCTCCTCTCTTTCCTCCCTTATGCTCCTGGCACAGCAGACTCTCCCGAGGCTCCCCCAGTGCCTCCCTCACCTCCCCGAGAGTCGCAGCACCTGCAAAACCTCTCGCCTCCCTTTTGAGCCCTGGACCCCCGTTTTCAAAACTTTCTCTCCCCTCCTCACACTCCATCTCATCTGCCTTTTCCTGATCACAATCTTCCAGAAAGGGACGGACCACATTCAGCAGCACTGGCTCCCACTCAGCTCCAGTTAGGACAGCCGCACCGCACACCTGAGATAACAAACAGAGCACAAGTCGGTCATCTGGGATCTTGTCAAGTGAGCAAGGAAGTGAAGTAGAAATATTATTAAGTGAAATTTCAAAAGTATTAGCTTAATAAGTCTCATTATGTAGAATGGCCCATTTTAGAACTTATATATGATCAAATAGTATAACAATATTGTATGCGTTAATCAGTTTAATGTTGCAGCACAGTAATTGTGTAAATGTACTTATTTACATTCCACCACTGGTAACACTACACACACACTACATCATAAACATATTGACATGAATGAGAATGTACTCACCTCTCTGCCATTCCACACAAACAGGTCAGAGTTTGTACAAATGCCGGCACTGTACAGGGAGACACCGTCGTCTGCAAACAACAACCAGAATGTAGTCGCATGCTTTGTCAGGCTGTTATTTGTATTCTAACTTCCTATTTTGCATTTAAGTGACTCACCTATAAGTGTATTGTAGAGGTGTAGACCTGCAGGGAGACTCCGGGCCACAGTCAGAGCCATATCCCCTTCCCAGAGTTCCTGCATCTTTATAATCAGAAGCACAAACAACTGCTGATTGCTTTCATTCTTTTAGACACAACAGCTCGTGTTTTCGGAAATGAAATTACCTGGTATATAGCTAATCGAAGATCTCCCACAGTCTTTCTACGGTCGAAACTCAAAGGTGTGCTAGCGCTCTGCTCTTTGCTGATTGGTTGCAGGGCTCCATTATCTAGCCTATAGGAGGGTGCGAGGTGGAGATGCAGCTCCACGGTGTTATTTGAAGCTTCAAACTCCTCGCTGCAACAGAAACAATGTTGACTGATATTAATCATTTATGGAAGAAATTCACTTTCAAATAACTTTCTTCTTCTTTCTGGGTGTTGATCACTGAATTACACATTTTAAACTAGCTAAAAGTGTCATGTTGTAATGTGATTTAATTCTGTACCGCATTTTCTGCACTCTGATGTTCTCCTCCTGAGCCATCTTGATGAGGTTAAGAGGAACTTTATACTCAGGATTTTTCAAAGCTGCGGATGTAGAAAACATATTTTAGTAGAAATGGCCTTACTTATTACAAATGATCAAAATGATGAGCCAATACATTGTTTAATTGGATAAATGGTTACCCCACTTAACAGTTTTTTTCCCTCAGATCCTCTTTTCCAATACAAATGCAATATAAAGTGTCCGTTACCTTCACCGGGCCTTTGCAGCTGTGTTTTTCTGTAGAACAGCATGTATGCGCTCTCTTTGCCCTGGAACTGCTTCTCTATGTCAGACTCCCTGATGGAGGTCACCGCCGAGTCATTAAGGTCGAACCAGTGGCTACCCTGCTGACAGACAAGAGAAACACCGTGAGAAACAGCCATCAAAGTAACCACAAGATGTTCACTTGGACAGAATGAAGTAGGTGTCTTTTTTTCCTTCAAATTTCGTTAAAATGTCCTTGATTTCTTGTTCTGTTGCTCTGATACCTTTTGTTCGGGCTCTGGCTTCTGGTCTGGTTCGGGCTCTTCCGCGGCTCCAGGTTCTGCAGGAGTTGAAGGATCAGAGTCAGTGGTCTGCTCTGCTGGGCCGGGGGTCTCAGTCACAGGGCTCGGAGGGTTTGCCTTCAATGCCACTCGAGTACCATTGGACACCAGCATGAAAACATCATTGTGGGACTGCAGGAACTACACCAGAAGAGAAAAAGTGAAAATAGAATTATGGGTAAACTACATATATTTTAATATCCGCAAACGACAACAGCATCATAAAAAAAGAAAACAAAAATACCTTTCCTATGGGCCCGTAGTGTTTTCTGAACTTTTTGCTCCAGGATGAACTGATTTTATCCATGATTTTTTGTCCCAGCTGGTCCAACAGGACACTCTTTGATGGCTCCTAGTGGACAGGATATGAACAGCATGCAAATTATTAACTAACCATGGCTGTATTAATGCCTGAACAAAGAAAGCTCTTTATAATTGTGGTAACTATACCTGTGTAATAATAGCACTGATGACAGACAAAGGGTCGTCTTCTTGAAGTTTTGGCTCACACATTTGCTTGACCTCGTCCTTCAATTTCTTCTGAGTCTTAATTTTGCATTCCTCTTCCTGAACACACAACAAACAGAGGTGAAGTGATGCTTTTTAGCTATGCTTACTTTCAAAAGCTTGAATATTGTTATACACTTTTACATTGTTGATAGCAAAGCATGTCCAAAGATATCAGAGTAATAGCACTTAGCCAAATGTAATACAAGAAATAGATCCTCATATTCTAAAAAGCGAGTACAACTAATGAATGCTTATTATATATATATATCATAATATTTAATTAACTATAAATATAATCTCCCATGTTTGCTCTTCTGTTTTTCTCACCGGCGGCTCCCATTGGCCAAGCTGGTCTATGTCCCTGATATAAACATGGTAATGGCCTCCATAGCAGCCACCCTTATGGATGATCACAGAGAACAGCTCGTAGGAGTAATCAGAGTCCTCTCCATCAGTCTGTAAGGGAGGAAAACATAGTAGTTAACTTATTAAGATATCTTAGTGTGCGAACACTGGAAGGAGGCATGTGAAATGCTTATGATTAAATTATGTCAGGTACCTCTTCACAAAATGGCCGTAGGTTGATGTTTAAGGGGAAAACGTAGCGTCCCGTCTCCTTGTATCGCTCACATTTGGCATAGTCAAAGCTGAACCTCAGCAAAGACATGGTCATAAAAGGAGGGAGCTTCTTCAGCTTGGCAGACTGAATAATAGCAAAATAAGAAAAGGAATGTGAGATACAGTAAAGAAAAAGCTTTACAAGTTTAGTTCAAATATTTGTTTCTCTTAAGGTTGATTTTGTTATAAAATGTGTTATGTGTTGACAGTCTGAGCGCTGGCACTGACCTTGGCAGCAGTGACCAGCCTGTCACACTGCCCACAGCGGTACAGGTTATTGCCCTCAAACAACTCTTCCTCCACAAACATGTTCCACAAAGCCTCCTCCAGGCTCGACACGCCACAAACACACACTGTCAGGTCCAGGAAGTCCTCCTGAAAAAGCCACATACAGAACTAGTTAATTACTAGTTCTTTATGCAGTGTGACTGAACTCCTAAAGTATCATTCTTTCTGATTCGTACTAGGTAAAAGTATTTCCAACAGTATCTAATGGACAGAAGCCCGGTCAAAGAGACAGAGAAACCCCGCACAAATGGACACACCTGTCTTTGGCTGACGTTTCCACACTCCTTGCAGGCGATACTGTTGACAATGGTCCCATGATACAGCTGGTGGATAAACGTGCTACCGGTGGTGCCCACAAGAGAGTGCTCCAACGCGCAGAACAAAATCCTGTTCAGCTCCTGCACATCATGCTGATTTGTTCCCTGAGAGAGGAGCAAACATAAAAGGATCAGATGAGGACAGATAGACAATCACTGTCCTAGTTCCAACCAATAAAAGTGTTAGTATACATTACATTGAATATTATAGTTTGCATAGTTGTGCTCAGGGATAAGGACAACACCTTGTACGTCGCAACAAGGTATTCCTTATTTTGTAACGATAAAGTATATGGGATATAGCTTTTCTGCTAATTCAATGTTTGTTTTTTTATAGTATATACTTTACAATTCAAAAAAAAAAGCTTCACTGAAAAAGCAGTTCCATGCTTCTTTTATTTACCCGCTATAACCTGCCTAATTCCTTTTGAGTAGTGCATTGTGGGACAATCGTGACCATCCACAGATCAGTTAATTAAAACTAGTTTTCATGGTGCACTCTTGACCTGGAAAAGGTGGTTATGCATGTCCTATGTAAAACTCTGTGAAAATAACTTCTTACTTTTCCTTCTCTTGTATTTATTTTTGCATGACTGCAGCTGGAAAGCCTCCTGTCAAAATGGAAGGTTTCAGGCCTGACCTGACCACAACTTAAAATCCATTTGTGTGAATCTCAGCATGAATGTCCTGGTATGACTGGAAGTTAAAATAAATCACTGAAATGAGAATTGTAACCTGAGCCTCTCTCTCTCCTTCCCACTGATAAAGATAATAGACACAGACCTCGCTGCTGTTCCAGCCAAAGCTGTCGGTAAGGTCTGCAGTGGAGGCGCTCTGCTGATCCGCCAGCAGCAGACTGGCAAACAGTCTCTGTAGCTCCAGTGGGATCACTCTAACCTGAGGATAAGGAAGGAAAACATCATTAATACACATAGACATAACAAATGTGGTTACAGCTGCAGACACTTTGCAACACTTACTTTGGCCCCTGGTTTGTCTTTGTCTTCCAGGCATCCTAGTTCATCTGCTCCCAAACTGAACAGCTCCCCTGTAAAGACACATAAACAATGAATAAGTAAGTGGAAAAGAATACAAATGTCCTAGTTTTCTACTGCTCTGGTGTACTCCAATCTCATCCCACTCTTAAGGGAATGTGATGTTACCTCTGAACTCTGGGGTGAACAGCAGGGTCTGGAGCAGGGAGTTGAGGTAGCAGGTGCCCCCCTGGTTCTTGATGCCGCACAGAGTGCTTCTTCCTCGGGGTGGAGGTGGCTCGTCTCCCCCCTTTGCAACTCTCCCACCGGAGGAGGTCGAAGAGAAGCCTTCCTCCTCCTCTTCCTCGAAAAGATTCCCAAACATGCTGCTTGAGTTATGTATTCCTTGTTCTCTGCGTTATGCTGGGGCTATACCTCGTAATAAACCATGTGTTAGTTAGCACTCTGATATGCCCTCTTGCTATCTCATCTTGGTCTTGCCGAGTTCTCTGTTGACAATGGCCGGGCTAACTCTGAAATAAGAAGACTTCACTGGGCTAAACATAGCGACTATGAGGCTCCTGGATGTAATGTATGCGTTGGACTCGCAGGTATGTTTTTTAGCTTGCTTAGCTCGATAATAAATACAAAGCAATCCCAGTCCCAAAACGATGAGCAGCTTGACAGCTCAGCAAAAATTAAAAGAAAACCAGACGTGAACGCTCAGTTTCACAACGACCGGAAAAATTGCGTCTCCCTACCGACACTCTAACGGGTCATTAAACGGAGTATTTACACAAGGTAGTTCATGACACAGGCTCTTTCTTCACCTTTCTGTCTTAAAACAGATAACAAACTAAACGTAAATAGAAATACCCTCGGTGAATAGTGGGCAGCCATGTTTCTTCCTGGCAGAAAATGGAATGATGCATTGTGGTACTTGTAGTGTCACACTTTGGTAACACACATAGCCTACCGCATTTTAATGTAACTGGAGATATTTTCATTACTGCGAATGCATAACTTAAGTGTGCTTACTTTATGACACAGCGATAAAGACATGTGTTTTGGCTATATTTTATTTTCAAGGCAACACTAATTGTTGCTATAAAAACTACATTTCCGACAAGTCTAGTCTTGAAGTTATGGGGCTTGTAGTCTTCTAGAACAAACATGTTTTTTAGGTAGGGTGCCCAAGGCCATGTGTAGAGGTTTGCATACCACTCCAAGATTTTAGGATTTTGATTAGCCACAAAATTACTTTGAATAAAATCTAGTGTAGTTTTGATCCTGCAGGGTATGTTTGCCCGCCCTACGAGCTCTAAATGAAAATAGCTGGATGTAAGTCAATGCATAAACAACTCTTGTCGTTCATAGACACACATCAAGTCTGGTTCTATTTATTGTCATTCCAATACACTCATAATATAATTTGACATACAATTAATGTAATAAGTAACTATCAGTCAAATTTCAGATATTCAGTTTATAAACAAAATGTTAAATATCATTCATATTAAATGTTTTTACAGAAATATATAAATCTCACATAGCTGTATACATTTCTGTCAGACAATGCACACAAATAAACAGATAAACTCTCATAAAAATATTGTGCTTGTGATATTTGGGTTATTATGAGGTACATCAGTTGTCCACCTAGCGCTGACGGTTGAATGCAGGGCCAAAACCTCTAGGTCATTTATAGTAGTCGCCACAAAATAATTCTGAAATAATTACGCATGTTGTCCTCATGTTGTTTAACCCCCAAAATCCCTAAAACAATATCAAGGTCATGACCTAAATTGCAGCTATGGCACTATATAAATTAGTAACAAGAAGAGAAAAGCTACATTTGCATAAACCCAATCACACATGTTAAATATTATTGCAAACATCGTCTCACACAGGAACACATGGACACTTCCAAAGAAGAATGAGAACATGTACACACACAAAGAAACAGTGCACTCTCTGTTTTTCCTAGTAAGTTTTCAGCTTAAAGATCTTGGCAAGAGGTGCTTTGGCACTAGAATAGATCAGATATGATTCTCCTTTGGAGCTAAAAAACTCCCAGTCACTGCATCCAATCGTTGGGAGCCAATGAACAGGAACAAATCCTTCATATCCCTGCCACCTAAAATTAAAAAGAGAAGAAGACTCATATATAAGATATGTCTGCATTTGTAAGGCTCTATAGTCAAATGAGCTAGGTCCTTATGAATCCTCACTTGTCAAGATTCAAGGCTTTTATTGTCATTCGTACATAGCTACAGTGTAGTTATGTCGATGAACATCTTAGGTCACAGGCTCCTCCAACAGTGCAACACAATAACACAGATAAAATAGTGCAAGTAAATACAATACAATAGAATAGAAGTAGTGCCATAAGAGTCTATACAAGTGATAAATCATTTGTAAGTTGCAAACAGGTGAATGTAGTTTCTGTATGTTATCACTAGCGTGGTTCACAGGAGGAAAATAAACATTAATACATTACTACATTACAACAGCACTAAGTTAGAGAGCAATCAGAATGGATGAATTATTTTACACTCTGAGGGGTGTTGTTGACAAGTTGAGTACCTGTAGACAACGCTGTTGAGAGAGTACGATTCCCCGTTGAAGGAGTTAGCAACAACCAGAAAATATTCCTCCCCGAGGCTGAAGAACTCCCAGTCCACTGCACTGGAGAGACAGAAAGGTATGTGGTGATGTCGAGAGGTTGAATTGGCAGCAAACCGCTTATTACACAGGAAGTGTGCTCATGATCTGTCTGTATGCACCTGGCAATGCTCAAACATTATCACATCTGTACCTGTAGGTGACTATATCCTGGAAGCGGACAAACAGCTGTCCAATCAGGTCCAGTTCGTAGATGGTGGAGTTGATGGCATATTGACTGGGCCCATTACCCTGGAGTCTGTGTCCATTGGCTACAACCAAGAAGACCCTACTGCCAATCTGAAACATTTCCCAGTCTGTGGCGCAGAACGTCTAGATAAACAATCAAAGAGAATACATCAGGTGTTTTTACTTGAGTAAAAGATCTAGAGACCTCTTTGTTTGCTTGAAGCTAAAGATAATAAAGCTGAAAGAGAAACTTCCAAGAAACTAAATGATGTAAAATGATATATTTGAGCTCATTTCCTGATTATTATAAATGATTAATTTGCCTCAAGGTGATCTTAGAAATCCTCACATCCAGCTGTGGAGTTCCCCTAAATCAACTCCTTTTGGTTTTTCTTGTGACTATTAATTTGTCAACCCTGTCTCCTGAAATGTGGCGAGATTCAAATATGATTCCCTATCAGTTACATGTCAAAGCACTGCTATCGCCAAACAGATTATCCCCATTTCTGTCTGTCAATCCCTTTTTATCTCTTCTGTTTGTGTTTCCTTCCTTCTGTGCTTTCAGACAAGATGCTTTTAATGTAATACTCATCTCAAAGATACAGATCTAATCGGCGGAAATCAAAGCCCAGCTGGAGAGAAGATAAACTATATGTAAATTATGGTGTAAAAAGCTACATTAAAGTGGAAATAAGACTAATTTACACTTCAAACTTCAACACCTTCCAAATATTTCCCTGATAGAGTACCAAACAGTCCCCTGCCATGGAGGTTTTTGGTTTGGTTTGTTGTTCTGTTAGTCAAAAGGATTACTGAAAAACGACTGGCCCGATTCAAAACTTCTAGTTTAGGTACATTTTTGCATTTATTTTGCCGTTTTATGTTCACCACATACCTTTATTGTCTGAAACACCTGGAAGCTTCCATTGACCCAAACGTAGATGACAGAATCAACAGAGGTTGTCACTCCATCAAAAGCATTTGCAACCACCAGGAAATGGTACGGTCCGACTGTGAAGAACTCCCAGTCGTACGCCCCTGAGGTCCGCAGCATCTGGTGGACCTCAAAAGACTTTGTCAACCTGTTCCATCTGTATATCACACTGTCTATGGTGTGATTTGTATCACCTGAAAGAGCAACCAGAAAGCAAGCAAATGAAACAGGGTAGTTTGTGCATGTCATCCCAAGATTTCTTTAAGTAAACAGGAAGTCATTTGATGGATGTTTAGTTGTTACCTTGTCTGTGATTGGCTACAGCGAGATAGGTTTGTTTATTGATTTGAAATGCCTCCCAGTCCCGTGCACAATGAGTCTGCAGAGTCTGGAACCGCACAAATAGTTTTCTTCTTTTGCTCCACTTGTAAATCACAGAAAAGTCATTCTCTGTTTGTTTGTGCTTGTCTGGCCCTCCTCCAGAATTAGACACCACCAGATAAACCTAGATCCAAGTGACAAAAGACCAGGAAATATCAGCTCTCCACACTACTTTGACCAGGTGGATGCATGAGCCCGATTTATATTACATCACTTCCGACCTTTTTGCCAATGCTGAAGTGTCTCCAAGCCAGAGCTTCATATGTGCTGATATTCTGGTAGAGCTGGAAACCTGCGTTGCTCCACAGATACACAGCAGAGCCAGAGGCTGACCTATGAGCCATAGCCGCCATCATACCCAGGCCAGGTAACTGGAACACCTGAACATTTAATACAAAAATACTGAAAAAAATGCTCTTTGAACAGCATTAAGGTAGGCTATAGAAGAATGGAATCAACGCATTGTGAACATCACTGCTACAAAAGATTGTTTGCAGAAATGTAATGAAGTCAAAAGTGGGACTGCAACTGAAATAAGCACTAAGATTAGCCAAATTAAATGTCTGGTATGCACACCTTTCTACCTAGAGAAAACGTACTTTTGACCAGAGGAATTAAGCACTAGTGGTATGGTTCCAAATCCTTTTTTCCCCATAAAACTGTAAAACAGGGTTATGTGCAGTGCATGACCCCTTGTCACATCATGCATATCTTGTGTTTCACAAGACAAAACAAAAAGAAATGTTGTATTCATCTTACTGTAGATCTAAGATATAGAGTCTCCTTGTGTGGGTCTTTTACCCTAATAGGGAACCCTTGGGCCTGTAAGTCTGATATTGTGATGGCTGTACAACAAAATAAGAAATATAAATATTAAAGTTATACAAAGTGGATGTAATGTAAAAGTGTACCTCTATGTCATGTGTCTCTGATCTGGTGGGGAGGACCTGGTGTTCTGACACGTAGTCCAGTCGTTTATGATCTGAGTAGATGGAGTAGTGAGATTTTTGTAAATGTAAAGCTGAGTAAAACATGCTTTTGGTGTTTGGATGGTAAGTTCTCACCTTCTAACACGGTGATCCACACAGTACCGTCACAGAGATAGAGGCCTTTACTGAGTGGATTGAACCACATCTGGCCTTGGAGCGTCTTTGAGCACAGTCGCTCCGTCCCCACTGACACTCGCTCCTCTGTCACTGGCAAATCATGATCAAAACAAAGATAAGCAGACAATCAAAAGGCAAGGAAGCAGAAAAACATATTATTTGTAAGATATCTTTCATAATACTTTCAAAAGTATTTTAAAATGTGTCTGCAAGTTACCATAGGAAGTCACATGGCTGTCCCCCTCACTCTCTATGACAGAAAGGTCTGACAGAAGTGGTGGTACTGACAGAACTGCTAGTTGGGGGTCAGAGGAGGGGCAGATATAATGGGTGGCGTCCAAACCTGGCACCAACACCAGCTGCCGCAACAGACCCTGTACACGAGGCAGCAGATAAGAAGGAAAAGGATTGACTGTTTTTATCGGAAACATTTTTTATTATGTGGTTCAGAAAACGTATTTTTCATGCTCAGAAAACACAAGTCTTACTGAATACAAGCCTTTCCATCTTCCCCGACTGCCAATGTGAAATCTCGCTCCTTGAATGTTGAGGTCTGGAGGGAAAGGCCCGGAGGGAACTCTGATGGCAATACAAATACATCATTATTTCTAATAGCTGAGCTAAGT